CAATTTCCTCTACTATTTCACAAACATAAATGCATATTGTAGCGAATGTACAATCACTACAAAATAATCGCTACGAAAAGACAATTTTCTTGTAATTAAACCTTCTGGGAGTTTCCTGTAAATGTCATTATTCAGTGGGCCATACAAGTAATCTGTGACTATGTCCATCAGGCATAAGTCTAGTCCTTCTCTTATTGCCATACTAATGAGAAATCTAAACGTAGTTGCATCCACCACAGGAGAATATGTTTCCTCATAATCAATACCAGGTCTTTGTGAGAATCCTTGTGCAACTAATCGTGCCTTATATCTCATAACTTCACCTTTTTCATTTCTCTTTCACACGAAAACCCATTTATATCCCACTGGCTTTACACCTTCAGGTGTATGGACTACGGGTCCAAATACTTTTCTTTTTCCAAGAGATTTTAATTCTGTTTCAATTGCTTCTCTCCATTTTAGCCAATCATTTCTTTGTCGACATTCATTAATAGACTTTGGCTCATGATCCTTAATAACATTCATAACATCTAATGCTACATTGCATGCAAAAGCATCATCGACGTTGATTTGATTTCGGTTCCATGTAATTCCAGACATGATATAATTTGTTGAAATTTCTTCATTGTCAGGTACCTGAGTTTCCTTTTGTATCATGTCTATGTTCTCTTCTGGAGATTCTTCAGAAATTTTATCATCATCTTGGCCATCATCAACCGTTGCTCCTTTCCTTTTTCGAGGATTCTTGTCTTTGGAACCTATTGGTCTTCCACGCTTCAGGCGTGTTTTAGACTCATTAGCAACTTCATTTTTCACTTTTGGGACATCAATCTTGAATGGAGCATTTATAGCTGGAATATGTGACTTAGTCACTCTTTTTGGGTCAGCAAACGAGTCTGGCAATTGATTTTCTAAACTTTGCAAATGAATTATTCTTTGAACTTCCAATTCACATTTCTTTGTCCGAGGATCAAGATGAACTAATGATAACTCATTCCAGCTAATTTATTTTTCCAAATGTTTGTTTTCTCCCCCTGATGTTGGAAAAACCGACTTATTAAAATGACAATCAACAAATCGAGAAGTAAATAGATCTCCTGTGGTAGGCTCAAGATATTTAATTATAGATGGAGATTCAAATCCAACATATATTCCTAACCTCCTTTAAGGACCCATCTTAGAGCATTGGGGTGGAGCTAATGGAACATAAACTGCACATCCAAAAATTCTCAAGTGAGAGATATTTGGTTCTTGACTAAAAACCAATTGTGATGGGGAGAATTTACGATAACTTATTGGCTCGATGCGAATTAGTGATGTTGCATGTAATATAGCATGGCCCCAAGCAGAAATTGGGAGTTTAGATTTCATAAGTAACGGTCTAGCAATTAACTGGAGATGTTTAATTAATGATTCTGCCAAACCGTTTTGTGTATGAACATGTGCTACAGGATGTTCAACATTTATCCCAATGGACATGCAATAATCACCAGCATTGTCAAGACGAATAGTCTTGATAGAAGAATCTGGAAAATGTGCTCTTAATTTAATCAACTGAGCTAGTAATCTCGCAAACGCCAGGTTACGAGTTGATAATAAAGATACATGTGACCATCTAGTCGATGCATCGATCAATACCATAAAATATCTAAATGGTCCACATGGGGGGGGGGGGAGTATAGGCCCACATATATCCCCCTGTATACGTTCCAGAAAATTAATTAGTTCATAATTTATCTTAACTGGTGATGGACGAATTATCAACTTGCCTTCTGAGCAAGCAACACATGAAAAATTATTATGAAGGATCTGCCGACTCTTCAATGAATGACCGCAAGAATTCTCAATTATTTTTCACATCATTATTGAACCGGGGATGGCCTAACCGGTCATGCCAAACAACGAAGTCATCAATAAACTTTTGGTTCACAATAGTGTGTGTCTCAATTGCATTGATCTTTGTGTAGTACAAACTGATAGAAAATGTAGGCAATTTCTCTAAGATACATTTTGTGCCTTGGTTTATGTTAGTGATTTGAAGGAATTCATCGTTTCCTTCACTAATTGTCTCAATATGATAGCCATTATTACGAATATCTTTAAAGCTTAGCAAGTTTCTTTGAGACAATAGGGAGTATAATGCATCAGTTATTTCAATTTTTGTTCCCCAAGGCAATATTATGTTAGCTCTTCCAGAGCCTTCAATTATATTTGTACTACCCCATATAGTACTCACACTAACCTTTTTCAAAATCAATTGAGAGAAATAAATCTTATTTTTAAGTATAGTATGAGTAGTTGCACTATCAGCAAGACACAATTCTTCATCATTTATTGCCAATTGAACTTGAGGAGTATTCGTACTATATATTCAAAGAAATAAAATATGTCACAAAAACTAAACATGTTCAAAATAATAATAATAAAATATGTCAACAAAATAAAATAAAACATTTAAAATATTACAATATCTCATGAAACACATCAAATCATATTACAATCATAATATGCATAAAATATAAACATAATCAACATGAGTAAATACTAGAGTTCTCTAGCTAAAATCATACAACATAACTAATACATCATCAATTATTTATTTCAGGGGTAGTAAGAAAATCAACAACTTCAAGATGAGTTGCATCGCCAGAATCAAAGTCACCTTTGCCATCTTCAAGTACAAGATTTGTCTCAACCATCTTTCCTTTCTTTAGTGATTCTTGATAAAGCTCAACAAGGTGTTTTGGTGTTCGAATCGACACACACGAGACCAATGGTCTTTTACTCCACAACGATAACAAATATTAGGCTGATGTTTGTCTTTCTCAACTTTATCATTTTGGCCTTCCCACTTCCGGTGGGATGTGAGCTCTTAGAGTAACCTCCATGACCTCTACCATATCCATGTCCTCGACCATGGCCACGTCACTGACCGCGACCGCGACCTCGACCTCGACCACTACTACCAGAATGGTCTCTATTTTTTGTTTCTTTCCCATCATGAGAAATCACATTTGCTTCAGGGAATGGAGTAGAGTCAGTAGGACGGGATTCATGATTTTTCATCAACAACTCGTTATTTTGTTCAGCCACAAGCAAACAAGATATCAATTCATAATATTTCTTAAAACCTTTCTCTCGATATCGAGTTTGAAGGACAATATTATTTCATGGAAAGTGGAGTATATTTTTTCTAACATCTCTGCATCAGTAATCTTCTCCCCACATAATTTCATTTGAGAAGTTATTCTGAACATGGCTAAGTTATATTCACTAACAGATTTAAAATCTTGCAATCTCAAGTTTAACCAATCATAACGAGCTTTAGGAAGTATAACAGTTTTTTGGTGATCATACCTTTCCTTTAGACTATTCCAAAGGATTTATGGGTCTTTAACAGTGAGATATTCATATTTTAGACCTTCATGGAGGTGATGACGAAGAAATATCATGGCCTTAGCTTTGTCTTGCAATGTTGCTTTATTACCCTCTTTGATTGTTTCACCAAACCCTTTAGCATTTAGGTGTATTTCAGCATCTAACACCCATGATAAATAATTCTTTCCGGTAATATCAAGGGCCACAAATTCAAGTTTGGCAAGGTCTGACATTATTCACTATACAAGATAATATTTAAATCAGAACTTATAATACTACAACTATACTTCCCACAATTATCAAATAAAATAAACATAACCACTAGTAATTCGTCATATGCATAACAATAAAAATAATGTCTAACACTAGTAAAGTCTATCATCAAGAAATTCCTACAGGATATATAACATGAATTTAAATGAAAGTACATTTAACATGAAAAACAACAAACTATAATGCTATAATATAAAGACAATGAAAACCAACTATTCATCAAAATCGTGGTAAACATCAATATGGTAATTATCAACAAAAGTCCATACAAATATAAACATGTATGCATGATAAAATTAATCATATATATCCATGGAAATGAATAGTGGTAAAACATGGTTGCGACATGCCGACATATAGTTTATGAGAATTCATGCAATTGTGATAAGTAACAAAAACGTAAATATAATCCTTTACATTTATCATAATTAAACTAATTTATCATTGTATAAACAAACTAATCCTCCAAAATTAATTCGTAAAAGAATATATATTTATACCGAGTACTTTAATAAAAAATAAAAAACTACAAAGTGAATAAACTTACATAATAATTGCAATGATTTTAATTCTCTTTGATACCTTTTCTTTTTGAATGCAGTTCTCTTATGAGTTACTCCCTCCGTTTTTTTTAATGCATCACTTTGATTTTTGTACTATTCACATAATATAGTTGACTTAATTTTTTCACTTTTATAAAATAAATAAATGTTATTATATAATATATCATTAGATTAGTCATAATGTCTAGTTTCATAAAATAATTTTGTTACAATTTTACTAATAGACAATTAAAGATATTAATGGTCAAAGTTGGGACTCGGCAAATGTGTCGGTCAAACTGATGCAAATAAAAAAAAACAGAGGGAGTATCTTCGATTTCCAATGATGATGATATATCTTAGCAATGGTGCTGATAACGTATTATAAAAGTACAGAGAGGAGATGAAAAGAGAGAAGGGATAGAGAATGTAAAATATAATAAAACTGTATTATAATTAATCATCCAATGAAGTAATATATATACAAAAATAACTAGCAAGTGATAATGAATAAACACCATTTTACAACAATTATTTGTTTTTTTATTTAAAAAAATGGGATTCACGAATCACAAAAATGGTCGTAGACTTGTGAGTTATAGGGACCAGCACAAAAAGCACAGAAAAACATATTCTCTACCCAAAAAAAAAAAAAAGGTTCGGCTAAGCTCGCATCTCATTGGTCCAAATAAAAACACACGGATCACCACCAAAACTGTCATAAACCCATTTAAATCCGTCGATTTCAACCAAATCTAACGGTTAAAAATCTCTGAAAAAAGTAAAGCCCACTATAAAAACAACAATCTCACAATTAAACACCCCATCACATTCGAAAATCTTACACATTTCATTTCAATCATCTTGTTCATCCCAAAGAAATTAGGAGAGAGAAAGTAAGAGAGAGAAAATGGATACAGGAGGAAAAGCGAAGAAGGGAGCAGGAGGAAGGAAAGGAGGTGGGCCGAAGAAGAAGCCAGTTACAAGGTCAGTTAGAGCTGGGTTACAATTTCCAGTTGGTAGAATTGGAAGGTATTTGAAGAAAGGAAGGTATGCTCAACGTGTTGGTACTGGTGCTCCTGTTTACTTGGCTGCTGTTCTTGAGTACCTTGCTGCTGAGGTATCATACAATTCTCTCTCTTTTGACCGTTTCATTTCATTTGACCTTTTGTTTTTGGGATTTTGGAGGTTTGCTGTGATGGGGTTGTGCTGATTTGGAGGTTGTGATTTGGGGGTTTTTTGGTTGTTGATTTTGTGTATCTGGGTTTGTTTGATTTTGATGGGGTTGGATTTTGGTGATGAGATTTGGAATGGGAAATGTTGGGGTTTGGGTTGAATTGTAATGTATAATTTGGGGGTTTAGTTTGTTGGTTTTACATTTTATTTTATTGCTTGATTATTAATCCAATTTGATTTTGATGTTTTGATTTGACTTTTCTTGAAATTTAATGTGAAATGAGGTTGAGGTTGATTCTGGAGGTTGTGATTTGGGGGTTTTGGTTTGTTAATTTCGTATTTTGCTGGCTGAATTTGATAATTGGTTTGTTGATTTGGGCGCGATGATATCTGGAATGCTTAAACTTAGGTTTTGTTTTGGTTAAATCTTGTGAATTTGGGATTTTGTTTGTTGATATTCCATACTTCGTATGAGTCTAGCCTGATTTTGGAATCAATTTGTTTTTTTATGGTTGTTTCTTTCATTTTTGAGATTTGATTGCATGTGTTAGGGTTTCGTGATTTTAGATCTATAGCAAAATTTTCTCTGATTAGCCTGCATTTCAGTTCTATTAATCTCATGTTAGGCAAATTTTGCTACAATATGAGCTATATTCATGTCAATTACAGCAATTCAGGCAATATCCCCAATTCAATTATTTCATAAATAGAAATTTTGTTCAATATTAGAAAATATAGAATGGCAAATTGAATTTGTTATTCGGCAAATTGAATAGTTAAACTCGAAGGCTAAATATATTTTGTTTTCAAATTGTAAAGGTGTTGGAATTGGCTGGAAATGCTGCAAGAGACAACAAGAAGAACAGAATCATCCCAAGGCATGTTCTACTCGCTGTGAGGAACGACGATGAGCTCGGAAAGCTTCTTGCCGGAGTCACCATTGCACACGGAGGAGTTCTTCCAAACATAAACCCAGTATTGTTGCCAAAGAAGACTGCAGAGAAGTCTCCAAAGGAGCCGAAATCTCCCAAGGCTACCAAATCCCCCAAGAAGGCTTAGATTTTTTAGTGGGTTTGGGCTTTCCCATCTCTAGTTTGTGTTTTCTGGAATCTCTGTATGTAATGTCAGTAGATGTTTTTAATTAGGTTTTTTTTTTTTTTAATTTTTTTTTTTTTAATTTGAAAAAATGGGATGATGGGAGGGTTGTAGTTGAGGGTTTCATCTGTGAATGGAATCAGGATAATTTGATTAGATTCACTGTTCTTTGTAATGTTGTTGGTATCAATGAAATATTCTAAATTTCTTATCCTGCTGCTTCTAATTTGCAAGTTTGTGCAATCCAAATCTTACAAATCTGGGTGTCTTAAGTTGAATGTGTTGGTAATGTTTGTTCTGAATTCAACTCAAACTAATCTGAGAGAATTGTGTGTTTGAAACTCTGATACCCTTGCTTAGTGCAGCTTGAATTGCTGAACGTAGCATGTTCCTTTGATGGTTTTCTAGCAGTTTGCCTGTCTATATGGTAGTCTATAATATTGGAGCCAAATTCAAGTAGCATTTCTTTGCTGATCATAGTTTCAAAATATGTTTCTTGCATTTCTTTGCTTAACATAGTTTTAAATTAGTTTCTTCTTTTGCTAGGCAGGAATGTTACTGGGGTAGAGTACAAGTGAAAATTGCATTAACTCTTGAAGGGCAGTTGCAGGAGTATGAATTCATAGAGAACTCTTGGCATATCTTGTGTCATTATGGGTAAGGTTTGTATAAATTTTGAGTATACTCTACTTGCACCATGTAAGTGAGATGTAACCATTCGTAGGCTTTTAGTACGTAGTAAACAAATTACATACTGTATTCTTTGTATATAGCTTACCTCTATGTCTCTTTTAGGTGCTGCTTTTTGTTAATGTCAGGACTTAGGGCAATGAAATACAGGGTAAAGTAGCTATATTTTGATTGGTAAGGCATTGCTCCGTTAAAAGATACAAGGAACGTGGTGTATCTGAACTTTTGAAGTCGGCATCAAGTCTTTAGACTTTGAAGTTGTTTGGTAATTTGAGCGAGTACTTAAAAGTTGAGTTGAAATGTTTGGGTTTGTGACTTTGTATTAGATAGTTCTATGATGGGTGATCTATTTTCATTTGCATGAGTTTGAAACTTTTTACCCTCTTATTTCCTGGCCAGGGATTGTGCTCAGAAGCAATTATTATTATGCCATTATGAAGGATTGGAGGTCCTGGTCGGAGGATAGCGAATGATCAGCTTGCAGATTTGATCATTGATTGTGGAGAAGATGCTGATACAGTAAGTCTTATTATCATCTGCTTCAGTGCTTCACTGACCTTGTAAAAAACCTCTTGGGTTGTTCAACATCTCTTGTGGACCTCTTATTATTATTATGTTTTGGGATGAATGTTGTCTGTGCCAATGTTGATTCTGCTCGGCGTTTTGTCCAATGTAGCATTTTGAGATGAATTCAGATAATTTGCACCTAAGATCATGCTTTTGCTCTAAAGTGATGAATGCTGTATGAATTGCCTGCTAACTGTCGATATCTAAAAACTCAAACTTATATTCCTGCTACGTGTGGCTGGGGTTAGAACTTTGGATGCTGCAAGATGTCTCTGCTTTGGGATGAATGTTGCAGACATACTTATACCTTGATTTTTTTATTTTATTTTTTATTTTTCATGACATATGGATACCTAGATAGCAGTGCTCATAATTTGATGGTGAATTGGTGATGAACAGATAACCCTTTCACTAGGTCCCCTTAATGGGCCTATTTGCTTCAACGAATGAATGAGTCGGTTTGATTTAGGAAGTTCCATTCTTTTTGTTTGATTTCGTCTTCCATATCAAGAAGACAAGAACTGCCTTCAGCCTTCTTTTCCTGTCAGTCCTTTTCAAGTCATCCCACTTTCTCAAAATCTATTTGCTTTTATAAAAATGGCTAACATGGATTAGATTTGTTGATGAGCTTTCTGATTTCTTAAGACTCTACTCTTGTATGTGTCTTGTATGTGTCCCATTGAACACTGCATTTTTTTTAAGATTGATAATGTTACTCTTGCTTGTTACAACATTGGAAGTGAGTAAGCTGAATCCTTATTGCTTGTTCAAGGGATGCCCTGATAGTCTGATTGCTCCAATCAGGCTGGTTTCATCCATTTGTCTCTAGTCAATTCCTTTCTGATTGCTCTGCAACTGCGAGTTATAGCCCTTATAGATATGCAGAATTTTCTAAAGCCTTAATATCAAGATTATCAACAAGATCTAAAGTATGTTTAGCCAAGGATAAGTGAGTTCAGATAAATTTACACAAGGAGTTTTCAGCTTAACTGTATGAAGCTTTATCGGCAAATGCCTATATCTCTATTTACAAAGGGAATTAGGGATAATATGATGCTATATAGCACATTAGCACTATAGCAGTATAGCTAGAGAGATTTTCAATGACCCCTTCTCGGGCTACTCGGGGTTTCTCTACAATACTGTAACTTATCAGCTCATCAGTTGCATAGAGATTTTACATGGCAATACTCAAGGGAACTGTAGACTGCGATCTCTTGAAGAAGTATTGGTACATCTTAAGGGAACTGTAGACTTTATAGTACAGGTATTAAAAAGGAAGCAAGAAAACACTGATTTAAAAGGCAAAAGTTCAGGTATGATGAAAACTTTTTCACGTGAGAGTTATATATCCTTTGGGTGTTTTTCACATTATCGTATGCATTTAACTGTAGTTTTTAATGCTTAAGATTATTTAAAAAACTACGGAGTACAAATTTTTTTATGACAGTCTACTCTAGCGGATGACCAAGTTAGTTTCCATACTCTGGGCCTGCATCCCTGCATTTTTCATAATCTTTCTTAGGAGTTGACTTCCTCTATTCTGAAATTTTCAGCCTACAATTGATCTTTTGTTGAATATAATAAAAGTTCGAACCCAAACTAATTTCTCAAATTGCAATATTTTGCTCTGAATTTTTTTTTGAATTGGGTTTCTGATTTAAAATTAAATTCAATTAATTGTTTTTATCAAAATTTATGAACCTTCAGACAATCAGACACGAAAATTAGATGATTGGCCACATCTCAAATTGTTACTGAAGCGACAGTAGCAGTCCAGTCTAACCATTCTCAAAATTTGGCCGCCTAACATAAATATATTTTAAACCGTATTTTTAAGAACTTATGTATTTTGTAAATTAAAGAAAAAAAAAAAAACCTTCCGTATTTATGTAAATATTTCCTAATCCTATTGGGCTTATTAGGACTAGTATCATCGTAAGTTCATAACCCTTGTTGAGTGCAGCTTGAATTGGTGAAGACATCATGTCCCTCTGATAGTTTTCTATCATTTTGCCTGTCTAAGTGATAGTCAATATAATACAGAAGCCATTTTCGCACAGCATTTCTTTGATTTTTCAAATTTGTTTCATATGTCACTGGTAGAGTACAAGTGAAAAGTTGATTTACTCTGAGGACTCTTGAAGGGCATCTGCAGGAGTATGAATATGAAGAGGACTCTTGGCATTTCTTGTTTCATTATGGATAAGGTTTGTATAAATTTTGAGTATACTTGACTTGCATCCACGTTTACCAAGTAAGCGAGATGTAACCATTCGTAGGCTTTTAGTTAACACATTACTACGTACATACTGTATTGTTTGTATATAGCTTACCTCTATGGCTCTTAGGTGCTGCTTTTCTTTAATGTCAGGACTTAGGGCAATATTTTGATTGTAAAAGGCATTGCTCCATCAAAAGATACTAGGAAGGTGGTGTATCTGAAATTCTGATGTCGGTAAGTTTTAAGAGCATAAAGTCTTTAGACTGTGAAGTAGTTTGAAAATTTGAGTGAGTACTTAAAAGTTGAGTTGAAATGGTTGGGTGTGTAACATTAGATAATTCTGTGTTGGGTGATCTATTTTCATTTGCACGACTTTGGAACTTTTTTACACATCTTGTTTCCTGGCCAGGTATTGTGCTCAGAGGCAATTATGATTATGCCATTATGAAGGATTGGAGGTCCTGGCTGGAGGATAGTGAATGATCAGCTTGCAGATTTGATTATTGATTGAGAAGAAGGTGCTGATACAGTACGTCTTATTATCATCTGCTTCACTGACCTTAACAAAAACCTCTTGGGTTGTTCAACATCTCTTGTGGACCTGTGGTTATGTTTTGGGATGAATGTTTTCTGTGCCAATGTTGATTCTGCTTGGTGTTTTGTCCAATGTAGCATTTTGGGCAGAAGAATAGCTTGCACCAAAGATCATGCTTTTGTTCTAAAGTGATGAATGCTATATGAATTGCCTGCTAAATGTCGATATCTAAAAATTCAAAACTTATGTTCCTGCTGTGTATGGTTGGGGTTAGAATTTTGGATGCTTCAAGATGTCTCTGCTTTGGGATGAATGTTGCAGACATACTTATACCTTGATTTTTTTTTTCTTTTTTATTTTATTTTTCATGATATATGGATACTCTTTCACTAAGTCTCCTCAATGTGCCTTCTTGCTTCAATGAATGATTGGGTCGGTTTGATTTAGGAAGTTCTATTCTTTTTGTTTGATTTCGTCTTCCATATCAAGAAGACAAGAACAGCCTTCTTTTCCTGTCAGTCCTTTTCAAGTCATCCCACTTTCTCAAAACCAATATGCTTTCATAAAAAATGGCAAACATGGATTAGATTTGTTGATGAGCTTTCTGATTTCGTGACTGTACTATTGTATCCCATAGAACACTGCATTTTTTCTTAGATTGGTGAGGTTACTCTTGCTTGTTACAACATTGGAAGTGAGTAAGCTGAATCCTTATCTAAACATGGATTAGATAAGATAGTCTGATTGCTCCAATCAGGCTGGTTTCATCCATTTGTCTCTGGTCAATTCCTTTCTGATTGCTCCGCAACTGGAGTTATAGCCCTTATAGGTATGCAGAATTTTCTAAAACCTTTTGAGTTATGCAAACTTACGCATAGTTCAGATAATTTCAGATTAAGGCTATGTTCATTTATCATTAATATCAAGATCATCAACCAGATCAAAAGTATGTTCAGCCAAGGATAATTGAGTTTAGATAAATTTACAAGAGGAGTTTTCTGCTTAACTGTATGAACTATGAAGGGCAAATGCCTATATCTCTGTACAAAGGGAATTGGGAATTAGCGATTATATGACGGTATATAGCACATTAACACTATAGCAGTATAACTAGAGAGATTTTCAATGACCCCTTCTCCTGCTACTCGGGGTTTCTCTATAACACTCTAAACTTATTAGCTCATCAGTTGTATAGAGATTTTACATAGGCAATACTCAAGGGAACTGTAGACTGCAATCTCTTGAAGAAGTATTGGACTATCGGTACATCTTAAAGGAACTGTAGACTTTATTGTACAGGTATTAAAAAGGAAGCAAGACAACACTGATTTAAAAGGACGTTTTAGGAAACTAAGCTTCGTTATGAAAGTAATTACAAAAATGGTTGCGTGGCAAAAGTATTTACAAAAATAAGCTTCTGGGGTAAACCGCTGCCTCGGGCAGCGTTTTACTTTCTATTTTTTTTTAAAAAAAAATTATGCTACAAAAACGCTGCCCCAGGCAGCGTTTTTATAGTTTGACTTTTTTTTTCCTCGTTTATTTTTTTTTAAAATTAATTAAAAAAAAAGGCAACAGCATAAAACGCTGCCCCAGGCAGCGTCTTATGCTTAAACATAAGACGCTGCCCCAGGCAGCGTCTTATCTTGTTAATGAAACACAAATATGATTTAACAAGTATTATCTGTTACAGCAAATGTTATTGTTTTATCTGTTACAGCAAACCAAATAACAACTCAAAAGTAATGTTCTACCTCATTTTAATGTTTAGTTCAACATTCCCCGGGTTTGAACTAACGCTACTATGAACCTCGTTCATGAAATCACTGAAGGTCATGTTCGGTTCAAGTGTCAGTGGTTCCATATTTCCACCATTATACTCGACACGAGGTCCGTCAAACAAAAATTCACCTCCCCACCGGCAGAACAAAACTACATTCTGTGCGGCCATATTCTACACAACAACCAAAACACATTACACTAAAACACACTAATCCATCTCTAAATCACATCCAACTAACCACTTTGGAACAACTAAGCATCACTAGGTCACCATTAACAAGCAATAATTCTAGAAATTCAAATACTTAACATCTTCAATATTTCAACACTAACAATTCTACATTATCCAAATTAATATTTAACAATCACAATTCATCAACTCAACCCTAAACCCCTAAATTCAACAAAAACCCCCAAAATTCAACAAAAACCCCCAAAATTCAACAATTCAAGAAATTCAACAATAACCAATAATTCAACAACACTAACCAACAATTAATATTTAACAATTCAAGAGTTTCTGGTTTTACAACCAGACAGAAACGCTGCCTGGGGCAGCGTTTTTAACAAGATAAGCATAAGACGCTGCCTGGGGCAGCGTTTTATGATGTTGCCTTTTTTTTTTAATTAATTTTTAAAAAAAATAAACGAGGAAAAAAAAAAAAGTCAAACTATAAAAACGCTGCCTGGGGCAGCGTTTTTGTAGCAGAATTTTTTTTTAAAAAAATAGAGGGTAAAACGCTGCCCGAGGCAGCGGTTTACCCCAGAAGCTTATTTTTGTAAATACTTTTGCCACGCAACCAAATTTGTAATTATTTTCTTCGGGAAACTTAGTTTCCTAAAACGTCCGATTTAAAAGGCCAAAAGTTCAGGTATGATGAAAACTTTTTTGCGTGAGAGTTTTATATCCATTGGGTGTTCTTCACAGTATCGGATGCATATAATTGTTGTTTTTAATGCATATTATTAAGATTTTTAAAAAAACTACGGAGTACTAATTTTTAATGACAGTCTAGCGGATGACCAAGTTAGTTCCCATGCTCTGGACCTGCATCACTGCATTTTTCAAAATCTTTCTTAGGATTTGACTTCCTCTATTCTGAAATTTTCAGCCTACAATTGATCTTTTGTTGATCATAATAAAAGTTCTAACCTAAACTAATGCCTCAAATTGCAGTATTTTGCTCTGATTTTTTTTTTTTTTTTTTTTAAAAAAAATGGGTTTCTGATTTATAATTAAATTCAATTAATTGTTTCTATCAAAATTTCTGAACCTTCAGAGACGAAAAAGCTCCTAAAAGGAGATTTTTGAAAAAGAGCTTATTTAGTGGAATAAGCTCTTTAAATAAGCTAACATAAGGTATTTGGTGAAAAGCTTATTTAATACCCGTAGTTAATAAGCTAATGTTAAGTCAAATAAGCTAATTTTGCTCAAAAAAGCTATTTACCAAATACAGACAAAAATATTTTAACCCCTTTTTTTTTTTTTTTTGAGGGACCGTGTTTTCAAGAACTTCTGTATTTCCCCGTCAAAAAAGAACTATATTTCGTAAACAAAAAAAAAAAATAAAAAAATTCTGTATTAATGTAAATATTTCCTTATCCTGTCGGGGTTTGGGTTTATTAGGAGTTTTAGCTTTTAGGACTAGTATCATCGCAAGTTCGTAACTCTATATCTGTAAAAAAAAAAAAAAAAAAAAAAAAAAAAGTTCATAGCTCTATAAATCCTCAACGACAAAGATTTCACAATTTAAAACGTATTAATAACATTGACCGTCTTTATCTCAAGAAATAATAAGACATATCTGAATTCTCTATAAATCTAAAAAAATAAAAAAATCTCATTGTTGATCAATAATACCTAGTGATAATCTTATTGGTCTGTGAAGAATGGGTACATCAACGGGTGTGAGTGAAGTGAAGGTGGAGGATTACGTGTTCCCGGCTACGGTGAAAGCTCCCGGCTCTGATAACTCCTTTTTCCTTGCTGGCGCAGGTTAATTATGAGTTTATCATATGTATATTGGTAGTTTATGATTAATCAATTTTGGTTAATTAAAGACCCTTCTCACACTTTTCGATCTTCTTCCATTATTTTTCTGGTTTTGTTTGATTTCTATAGGTAATGATTCTTTCTTCAATAATATTGGTCAGTAACAACACAATGCTATGGTTTTTAACACTATGTACTTATAAATATATAAAATGAAAAATTTCCTTAATTTAAACTTAGATATGACGATTATATCAGGATCTTTCATTACATTTACGATTGTTTATGTTCGGAACATTTTAGTGATGTTTATATGGTTAATATGTGCTCGTGCAGGGGTGAGAGGAATAGAGATACAAGGGAATTTTGTAAAGTTTACGGCAATTGGAGTGTATTTGGAGGAGACTGCGATTTCTACCTTTGGCTAGTAAGTGGAAGGGTAACAGCTCTACTGAGTTGGTGGAATCTGTTGAATTTTCCCGTGATATTATTACAGGTTATGCTAATGTTCATCTTACGTTCGAGTATAAAATTACATTATAATTTGCTTGCCTTTTAATTATAAGTTGTGCATGAGGAATAACATGAAAAAAAAAAATTAAAATTACAAACGATGATTTAATAAATTAGTTATTTCGTATGTGGCTAATATCGAGACTTGAGGAAGTTAATTAAGGTTATAATTTCCAAGAGTGCAAAGTTGGTTTCTGAAAAATTGTCTGGACAAGAGAACGTAGAATTACGAAGAGATGTCAATTATCTGGACAAGAGTGTCAATCTCCCAATATCACACAACAATGCAAGGAGGTTTTTTGAGGTTGGACCAGCGCTGTCAGGAAGCAATTTAAATTCGCTCATATGAGACTAACAGACCTGAACTCACCTTTGCAACATTAGATCATATCATCTGCTAAACACAAAAGTTTTAGTTTTATTGGCATGAAAGTAATCAAGGCGAATTGAACTCAGGTTCTCTCCCACCACTTCTAGAATCCTGGAAAGATACAATATTGCATGCAGCAAGCAGTGGACAAGCATAAAACTTAAGCACAGACATATTGTCTATACGAAAGTTTTACATTTTCAACATAGGTTATTAGGCTCTCTGATCAACAGCTCAGCCGCGACAAGTTAATCTCTTCTGTGATCAACTATCAAGGTTCTAAAGGCCTACATTTTACTTGTGTCCACTTATTAGGACTGCAGCTTAGCAGGGGCTTCTCATCAGTTAAAATGGTAAAGAAAGTTTAGAAAATACTTGTATAATCGTATTACAGTGACCAGATATATACATGAGTACTACAGAGAACAAGAAGGTCAAATGCTCAAAGACTATTTTACAAACTAAGCCTTTGCTGTGATTTTTTTTTTTTTTTTTTTTTTGTGAAATTGAAGTTTTCACCAGATGTCTGCTTGTGCTCATGCAGGGCACTGATTTCTTTGCAGTTTAAGTTAAGTTTGGAGTATATCACATCAATGATTCTTTAGTTGGAATATTGCCAGTAGATGTACAATTTCTATCCTTTTACAAAAGAAAATGCATCACATTGTAATATTTTAGATGTAGCTATTATATTTTAACCCAATTCAATAATAATATGGAGTAGTTTTTATTCAAAAAAATAATATGAAGTAGTTTATTACAAAGTATAAAGTATTTGCTAGTAAATAAACATATCCATTTTTTTTTTACTAATTTAATACAACTACTTACCAATTATTTTTATACACTTATACTTCAACAATCCCTATATGACAACTAAAATCTATTATCTTTGTTTATATCTACCACAACAACTACTTTTGCCGAACATGCTCTAAATTGGCCTAAAAATTTGTCCACCACTTGTTCTAATGAGCAAATCAAGGGGACAATCGGTATCGCTAATTTCACAAAAAATGCTGCCCCCGGCCCTGTCATAGTATCGCCTTTGGAATCACACTCTTACAGGCCACAGTGCCACACCACTACAGCATAGCATGCTCTGAAAGGATTCAAAAGATCGTTGGAAGATGCATGATCCCACACTTTTAGTACTCAGGTAGATTATATGTGATATGTATGTCATTGCTGGACTCACAATGTCACGTTGATGTGAATGAATATATACACAATATGTATCTATAAGACTATAATATATGCAACTATCTAACCACTCGTCCACCCTAAATATCTACTGCAACAACATTGTACATAATAATAGTAGTGTCTTACGCAACTTAAATTTTTGCCTTGGAGTGCTATAGGCGTTATGTACTGCCTTAATGCAAAATGCATGCTACCACCAACTGACTTAGAGATACCTATTGAAATTCAAATACTAATGGCACCACGAATTTATTTCAATTACAAAATATCTATGTTGATCGATTAAGAGATGTATTTTGATTATTGTTATAGATTTCGCATATTAAAATAATCCTCAATAGTATATCAAAATCTAAATATAGAGCGTACAGAGTACACATGATTTCGATCGTACATTAATTGTAGTAGTGTCCATGAAGTAATTTTTGCATAGCTGAAAACAAGTGAAAATTTTGATTTACGTGTATATAAGAGTTTATCCTAATTGTGTGCCTTTGTAATTGTATTATGTAATATGATTAAGAGATTTTGTGCATTCTGCCATTTGTTCTGTTTTGCCTATTTTATTGATTATCTTGGTGGAAGGGGTAAGGGGTTGTTGTGTAACGAGTGGAACAGAAGAAACCAAGCATCAATTCACGAATTCATTAAATTTCGCATATGATAAAGCTAACTTTACCACAATTGCAGTAACTATTAAAAAAAATTATTGGCCACGAAAAGCTCATTTAATAGAAAGATATAATAGGAGGGAATAATCGGGAATCTCATTTTTAAACACTTTTTATCTTTATGATCATATATAGTGTTAAAAGTTCTAAAAATTAGAATTGAACTATTAATTTAAACTCGACTCTTAATCATATTTGTATATACAAGATGGATTATCATTAAAATTCACTTAAACTAACAATAAAATCAACGATCTAGAATTTGAAATGAAAGGAACATCGCATAGTAGTAATTACTCAAATAGAATTAGATTAGATATAATTATAACTGAAATGTTTTGTTGCTTACTTTATTTTATACACATGTACAAAAATAATTACCTAGTATTTTTTTTTTCAAGATTCTAAAATGGAGTGCTAGTCGTATATGGACGAAATAATAAAAAGACAGTAGAAACGTAACAGCATTGACTCTGACTTTCCTCTCATCACTACGCTCCCTTGCTATAAATGCGGTTCTACTCCATTTTGCTCGACTTAGAAGTTAGAAATACCTGAATTCTCTCTCATCTCACCCTTGATAATATCAATAATCTTATTGGTCTGTCAAAAATGGCTACATCAACGCCTGTCACCGAAGTCAAGGTGGAGGATTACGTCTTCCCGCCGACAGTGAAAGCTCCGGGCTCCGATAAGTCGTTTTTCCTCGGTGGTGCAGGTCAGTTATCCTACGCCTGTAATATCGATATTTAGTTTTGTTCAAACAACATTATATAGTACTCCGTAATAGAAATATTATCGATTTTGTTTTGGTTGTTCTATATTGAAATGATGAAATTTATTTGCATAGTTTTGACTTTGTTGTCCACTTGCTTTTTTGTTAAATTATTGATTTATGTAATTAAAATTAATCACAAATGGCTAGCATTTACTTTGAATTTAATTTAATTTTAAGCTTATTAAAAGGTCGAGATTTTACTTTTACTTTTAATTTTAATTTTACTTTGAATTTAATTTTATTTACTTTGAAATGTTACTTACAGAATGCACTATAAGCTTCTTAATGCACTTAACCCAAGATATCAAGCCAACTTGATCCAATAATAAAACTGAAAAGTTAATTGAAGTGTGGTCAAGATTCAAGAAAGCCTTTGCCTATTGCATCACTTTTAACTCGGAAATGTAATTGATCAACCCGAAATCGACCATTGTGTTTGGTATCAAGCGAGTTGGACAGTGTTTAGCGGATTGATGGCAAATAAGAGGTTTAACCATTCAATCTGTTAATTTGAGGTGTTTGGTAAATTGGTAATTAGCACTTAGCAGTTTGAAAGAGTAGATTTGGCCCAATCGCTGATTTAGAAAAAGCTCCCCATACCAGCCTTTTCAAAAGAAAGGATTTGTATCTATTGCGAAAACTACATTTATGTCCATATTTTTTATACACTCACATTTGATTTCATTATAACTACTATATATTTTTGTAACTAACTAATATAATTGACATTTATATTACGGAGTATGCTTGAATCAACATAACTACTTCTTAGTATGGAATTATATTAATTTTTTATTGAAACAAACTTGTGATATTTATACGGTTAATAACTTAAGATATACTTGTGCAGGGGTTAGAGGATTAGAAATACAAGGAAATTTTGTAAAGTTCACGGCAATTGGAGTATACTTGGAGGAGACTGCAATTTCAGCTTTGGCTAGTAAGTGGAAGGGTAAAACCTCTACTGAGTTGGTCGAATCTGTTGAATTTTTCCGTGATATTGTTACAGGTAAATTATATTTCACTCTATTTACTGAATTTTATGTCAAAATTATGCTTCACAACATTATAAAATAATCATCCATATATAGTCAAACATATTGACTAGATTTGTTAAATATAATAATCTAATCATATTGAATTCTTTTGTAATTAGAAATTAATGTTCAATACGTCCATATGTTAATGAGTACATACTAATATTAATTTCACACTCGGGTATAAAATTACAAAATCGATGAAGTTAAGGTTATCAAAAATGTGCTATTGACCTATTGTGCTTGAGGATTGATTGACTAGTAGGTGGTTTGTACGTATCATATAATGTATATTGTTATTGGTTGTTGGCGCAAGAGGCAAGTCCTACGAATCTTCAACCTTGTTTAAGGTTGACTGGTAAGTTCAATGAATTGTAGTTCACGACCACCACCGTTTATTCCAAGTTCACTTGAACTTGAATTAGGGGGTTCGATTATTCTAATATGCACCCAATAATTAGGCTAACGAGCGTGTATAACAAATTGCACCTTTAGTCATTGAAAAAAAATTAAAGATTTGATTTCTTGTCTCTTCAATCGACATAATTTATCCTATTTAAAATTAGTGATGGCACTTTTAGTAATTCAATACTTAACTTTATTTTTTCTTTTTAAATGATATGACTTTTTATATTTCACAATGTTATAACAAAATTGATTATGTTTTATAGGAATTTAATAACGTGCTTTTAAAACTTTGTATTTTTCTTGATTCAAATGTTTGAATTTTGACTTTTTAATAATTCTTTGTTTAAGGCCTCGTTTGGTTGTACATAAGAGTTAAATGCCTATCGAAAGTTACAATACATGAAAAATTTTATTGCCTAGGAAATACTAAAATTGTGTTTGGTTGACATATAGGAAATTGTATTTCCCATGAATTAGTTTCCTATATTTTGTTTGGTTAATTTATGTAATACCCATGTATAATTATAGCTTGAACTTCTTTTCCAAAACTTTGAGGACAATAATGTAATTTCACCTAAAATACATGTGGGAAGTTTGAGTGACCAAGGTAGGGTGTGGGAAATTAATTCCCATGTTTTGTAGGAATTTCCACTTCCTACATTTTTGCTAACCAAACAACTACTCTTGAACACGTTTCCCATGAATTTGTATTTCCCCTATTATTGAAGTGCAACCAAACAAGGTATTAAGTTGTCTTGGTTTTATTTGTTTCACCTTAGTAGTGTAGTTGTTAATTATAGTAAATGCTTGCAAACAATTAGCCTTGGTGTTCGCGATTAACTTACGCCTTAAAAGTGTAAACTTGATGCTTGTAAACAATTTGCCTTAGCTTGGTGCGTGATAGCAATTTTATTACACCTTAATATTGTAGTTTTTAAGTTGATGGTTGCAAACAATTTGTAGGTCCATTTGAGAAATTTACTCATGTTACCATGATTTTGCCATTAACGGGACAACAATATTCAGAAAAGGTGACAGAAAACTGCGTTGCATTTTGGAAGGCCATCGGTATCTATACCGACGATGAAGCCAAGGCCGTCGAGAAGTTCCTTGAAACCTTTAAGGATGAGAAATTTCCACCAGGACACTCTATTTTGTTTACACAATCACCTCATGGATCTCTTACGGTTAGTATCAAATCTTATGTTCAATAAAAGTAATTTTATTTCAAGCAAGTAAATATCAAGATTGTCGATGTTTTACTCTAAGAAGATGTAACTCACATTGGTGTGTGCTTTGAATTTCATGTGTTAAACAGATTGGGTTTTCCAAGCATGATAGCATTCCAACTGTCGGAAGTGCTGTGATAGAGAACAAAAACTTGTCAGAGGCTGTATTAGAATCTATCATCGGCAAACATGGTGTTTCTCCTGAAGCGAAACAATGTATTGCCGCGAGAGTTTCAGGATTATTGAATCCAGAAAATGCAGAAGCAAATTCAACGAATGGAGTCGAAAGTGAGAAGAGTGCAAAGGTTGATACTGAAAAATTGTCCGGACAAGAGGACATAAAATCATAAAGAGACGTATTTTATGCTGCATATTGGATATAACCTCGTTGTAGTATCCATGAAGTTGTACTTGCATTGCTAAAATAAAATAAAATAAAACGTTTTTGTCTCTAAACCCCTGTACTCTATTTTGTTTAGGTTTCGAACAAGCTTTAGAAGTGGATAAGAAAAATATTCAATATGCAACAATAATCATAACTATAACTTTGTATAAATTTTGATTTTTAATTGATTTAATTTTTATGCATTTGCAAAAAAGAACTTTTAATCAAGGAAAATTTGTTTAAAAGGACCACTTAAGTGGTTTCTTTTGTTTAAAAGGACCTAATAAATAAAAAGTTGTTTAAAAGAACACACTGAGGGTTGTGGGACAAAGTCCAATTTCCAGACAAGTCAACGCCGAACTTTAATCATCACGTGACTCATTAAGTTGACCCATTTTTTTTTTCCCACCAAATTTCCAATTAACCCCAATTAAACCCTTTTCACTTTCATTCTCTCTCCTAGTCTCCTCCTTTCTTTCTCCAGAAACATTATTCATGCCATTTACTCTTGTCTGCCATTGTTAGTGAGGTCAAAGCATCAAGTTAAATGGCTAATGAAGATTATCTTTATTGAGAGAAGCTTATTTATTAAATATCCAAACAAGCAGCAACAACGCACAACATCGACCCACAACGCGCTGCTACCCTCCTCCCACTTCACCACCGGCAGCAACCGGGCCACCACCACAACACGCCTCCGCACCTCCACCAAACAGCCGAAACAAACACCTAACGAAACCACAACCACCTAAACCCACAATGCTTACCTTGTGCAAATTATCCTCAATTACAATCTGATGAATTCATTTGGAAATAAATTGCGAAATTACGGGTTGAATATAATCTAGGGTTACAGAAATGAGGAGAGAGAATGATGGGAAAAGGGATAATTGGGGTTAAAGGGGAAAAATGGAGAAAAGCGTGGAAAAAGGGGGAAAAAAGAAAAATAAATAAATTTGGGCCAACTTAATGAGTCACGTGCCGGTTTGGAGTCCACATTGACTTTCCTGAAAATTGAATTTGGTCTCCCTACACAACCCTAAGTGTCTTATATGATTCTTTTAAATAACCTTTTACTTATTAGGTCTTTTAAACCAAAGATACCACTTAAGTGGTCCTTTTGAACAAATTTTCCTTTAATCAATGAAAAAATTTCTTTAAGGGTTAACATCTCCAAACTGCCTATTCGAGTAGTCTAACTAAGCTTTATTAGTTTCTGAATCTTAAAAAACATCTCCAAAACTGGTCTACCCCAATTGTCAAAAGAGCTTATATCAAAAGAGCTCTAAGAAGTGCATGAAGGTTTGAAGAGATGTAAAAAAAAAACGATATTCTATTATACTACCTCCGTTAACAGTTATTTGCAACAAAGGGGGGTAGCACGGACTCCTAGGCAAAAAAATTTAAACATGATTATTGAAATATAAGGGCATGTACTTAAGCACTAATCCAATTAAAAAAAACACACAATTAATCAGAACCACTATACAACCAAACCCAGAATCCAACCGTAAACCACCACCACCACTGAACCCACTGAAAACTCAGGCCATAACCCATCGAAAACCACCAACACCCATGAACCCACTGGAAACCACCACCAAAACCCACTTAAAACTACCAAAACCCACCGGAAACCACCAAAACCCACTGGAAACCACCAAAACGCACCAAATAATACTAGCCCACCAAATCCCAGCGAAAACCACCAAAACCCAACGAAAACAACCACCAAAACCCCGAAAGCCCCAATTAAACCACCACCAGTCCACCACCATGAATTGAATTAATTACAATTAAACCACCACCACCACGAAACCAAACACCACGCCATCCACTACCCTACGAAACCCAACACCACGCCACCTACGACCCTCAGAAATCAACCACCACAAAACCTAGACCTAAACCCAGACCCACAACCATCGACGCCTAGATCCACCCTCGAAACCCACAAAACCTAGACCACCATCCACGAAACTCGTGCCGCCCACAACCACCACACCCACGAAACCCACGGGACACTACCTCCGGATCTGGACAAAAGGTGGGGAAGATGAAGGAGGAGTGAGATTTTGATGATGAAGGAGGAGAGAGAAATTTGATGAATAAGATGAATGTTGAGAGATTTGATTTTTTTTAACATCTGATTTTTTTTTTTATTTTTTTTTTTTAAGATTAGATGAGTTAAGAGGGTTATAATAGAGTATGGTTAGTGAAATGATTAAGGTAGTAAGTTGGTTAGGTGAGGGCAGTTTGGTCATTTCATACAAAAAAACTTACTAAAAGAGGAAAAAAATACATTTGTTGCAAATAATAGGTAGCATCCGTTTATGACAAATGTTACAAATAACTGTTAACGGAGGTAGTATATAACTCTTCTTTTATGTGATTTACTACGTACATTAAGAGTAAACTTTAATAGATCCAATCATATTGAACAAAGGGCATGAACCACACTAGAATACTTTGGAGTAGATTACAGACCCATGCCATCCTACTAAGGGGCCGTTTGGTTCGTGTAGGGGAATCGGAATGGAATGAACAAAGAGAATGAAAGAGAATGGAATGAAAAACCATTCCATGTAGTGTGTTGTTTGTTTTAAAAATATAAAGGGAATCACCCCCACCACATCACCACCACCAACACCACCACAGCACCACCACCAACACCACCACACACGCCGTCGCATTCATCTCTCTCCGGCGACCCCCAAGTCCGGCTAGCCATGTACATAGCCATGGCACACGCCTTCCTCCTTTTCTCTCCTCACCGTCTACGGCGTTTTCCAACTCCTCGAAGGCTACCTTCGCCCCCTTCAATGGCCCATCCTTTGCTCTATCCCTTTACGTGGGATTAACGAACCCTAGTTCTGTTCTGGAAAGATCCATTGCAAAAGAGTTTTATCGAAACGATTCTCGCAATACCCGTTTCGATTTTCTGGGTTTTCGTTGGTACAATCGTTGAGATTCGAGAGCTTGTTTTCAAAAGGAAGGAGAAGAAGTCGGATTCCGATCGTCGCCGAAGAAGTGGGTTTTTCCGGTGGTTAAAGTGGCTGGGTGGTGGTTGTGCGGTGGGGGTAGGGTAGAAGGGTGGTGGCTGGTGTAGGCACGGTGGTGTAATGCTGGCTAAGGAAAGGGAATGGAAAAGGCTAGGGGGGTGGGGAATGAACTTAGAGGGATTTGGGGGAATGAAGGGGGTAAAGGAGATTGGAAAAGTGGCCTAACAAACAACAACAAAGGGAGTGATTCCCGTTGATTCCTATTCCCTTTGTTGAATACCCCCAACCAAACGGCCCCTAATTACTAACCATGTTAAACTAAAAATTCCATTCAGACTAATCAACATAGTGTAACCTCATAAGTGTAGTATGCCTTGGGTCAAGTTTTACCCATCATTAAACTAATTAATCCCACTTTAATGAAGTATCACTTTAATGAAGTATCCAAATACATATTGGGTTATAAAAATTTTGGGCCACTCCATAATAAAATCAAATAAATCATGTTAAGACTTTCAAATAACATGCAATATGGCCAATCAGTAATCACATATCTACCTAGCCCAATAAGAGGATTTTCCTCTCCTGTAACTCTGTAAGGCTGTAAACACCTCTTCTCTTCAAATTGGAAGATTTATATCACTATTTACAGTTCGAAGGTTGTCAATAAGCATATCAAATTTGTACCGAATGCTTAATTAGATACATTTAATCATATTTGAAAGAAAACAAGATGCACTTAAAACTCTTAGCTTGAAAATTAACGTACAATTTCAAGCGTCATTTACGTGTCTTCATGAAGTTGCGAATAAAATCGGAAGACTTACTTTGAGAAAATCGAAGTATATACTTTATTCAATACAATTTTTTTTTAAGAGCCAATACTTTCTATAAATTGTCATTTACGGTGTGTTTGGATTGAAGGAAATGGATGGAAAGGAAGGGTAGGGAAATGGAGAGATGTGATATCTTTCGTTTGGATAACTAATGAAAAAGGAAGGGGATTGAAGGGGAGTGGATTAAATTGTAGGAAAATGATTCCTCCAACAATGGAGAGATTTGGAAGGAAAACTCACCATTCTTCTCTCCCATCCCTTTCCCTCCCCTCCTCTTCTCCTCCCTCCCCTACTTTTCCTTCCTCTTTGTTTATCCAAACACACTGATAAAGATTGTGCGGTTGTGCCTAATATATATCCAAGTATCTATATAAATCAAATGTTACTATGTTTCAGGCCTTGATTATTTTAAATGCAACTTTGTGTATATCATGAGAATTACAATAAAAAAGGAATTCATCTATTGTAAATGTTTTCCATTTCTCTAAACTTAATTATGTTCCAGTTTAACAATAAAACTAATACGAAGTACATACCATGCTAGTCCCAAAAATCATATCAATAAAGCTTGGTGCGGTCATCCATCTTACACATTTTTTTCGAGAGAGTCATCATCGAAGTTTGTAAGTCGCAAGTTGCGTATATAGACTAATAAGGAACAAGTAACCAACCAAGTAGAGGTGGGCATGGGGTGGATTGGCAAGAGGGCCAATCAGACCTGACCCGGCAAAAAGCCCACACAACACACTTTTTTTTTAGTTGGTAAGGAGAAGAGCCCTATCTGGCCGGTACCTCTCACAGGTCCTCCCAGCCCAGGTGGGCGGGCTAGGCACTTTGGGAGTTGGGGGGAAGGGTAAGGGAATCCCCGCCCTAAAGTGCCTATAGAAAAGTTTGATCCCACAACCTTATGGTTGGGAAATGCAAACTTTACCACTAGACCAAGTTTTGCTTGGTCCACACAACACACTATTGGGCCATGCATGCATGGACATCATTTTAGAAGTTGCACGAAAAAACTGAGTTGAACAATTTTTTTATTTTTTACTTTAATCAATTCATGAATATGAGGCGATTACTTAAAATTCACACCTACTCATCACTCATGATGGGTAAAATTTTTTATCGACGTCTTCCTCCACCATCCACCAAACCTTCATCCATCCACACCTAATCAAAGCCAATACTAGGTGAGTAGTTTTTTAAACCCACCGCACTGAACTTGGTGCACTTGTGCTATGAGACTTTGAGATTGGTATACCTGAGTTGACCAACAAGCAAAGATGACCTAGCCCAGGGCACCAAATGTCCCAGCAAGAAAAAAAGCACGACATGACACAAACATGATATAGGCAGTTAGGCAGGGTGTAACACTACATGTCTACATGTTATTGTGTGTGTTGGGCTGTTGGTCGACTCTATTTGGAAGAAGGATGACAAGACACACTAAACTTAATGCAATTTGACTTAGGTACGCAAGCCCACCATGATGGCATGTGATCTTAGGGCAATCACTACAAGAAAAATTGTCTTTTTGTAGCAATTATTTCGTAGCGATTGTATATTCACTACAATATGCACATATGTTTGTGAAATAATAGAAGAATTTGTATTATTTTACAATCGACATAATAAACCCATATGAAATCGATACGAGAAATATAATAATATATATTCATTTTTTTTCTACACATTTATAAATTATGGGAAAGCGTATCGTTTACAATCCCCACTTAAACCCAAAAGTCGATACGAAAAGTCTTTTGTACATTAGATTTTAAAATTTTGTTTGACAAAGAGAACATAAAATATGTCATAGCTTATTGGAAAAACATTTAATATTAGAGCTTGAGGTTGCATGTTCGAATCTTGTATAGATCATATGTAGTGATTTTTTTTTTTTTTTTTTTTTTGAGAAAATGAGTTCAACATTAAATCGCTACAATAATCACCACGATTGAATATAGTTTTCCGTACCGATTAATGAGGACAACCCCAACGAAAACGAAAAACATGACAAAAGGCTATGGTAACGGCAGATATTGTATCAAATAATCATTCATTGAGATTTCTTTTGATAGCAATTACAATCGATACCAAATGTATAAATAAGAAGTTAGGATAATGAGTCAACCTTTAAATAATTTCAGCACAACACTTAGCTTTTGGGTCGGGCTTAACTAATCTTAACAACAACTAATTGGATTTTTCAAATAGGTGAAGTAGAAGGCAAACAACTAATTAATAGATCAATCAATGTAATGTTGATTCGTGGAAGGTTGGGGAAATTACCAAACAATACTCCTTTCTTCATCAAAGCCATATTCTTTTCGTATTTTGGACCTTTCCTTTTCATAATTAAAATTTTTGGAAAAGTAGAGATATGGATAAGCATATAAGCTTAGAAAATCTAAATCTAATCCCACAACTTTTTTAATGGATGGCTAATAATTATCAATTTTTTTTATTTTTATTTTATTCTCGACTCACGGCAACGGCATTATTAATACTGGGCCCCACAGCCCACCTCTCAACTTGCAAACTATCGTCACACCTACTGTTTGATTAGACGGCCCAACCAACGGCAACCTATAATATGACCAATAATCATATACAGTACTACCAATACCAATTCAACTAAACAAGCAACTCTTTAATCACCGTAAGATCCTCCAACCTCATGATCTCTGTATGATCGACGGCTTCGAAGCCCACTTAACATAATTAATGCTTACTAAGGTGTCGTTTGGTTAAAAAAAAAACATAGGAAATTAAAATATTTTGAGACTGAATTTTTTTTCTAGTGCTTAATTGATAGATACGTTACACCCTTAATATTATCATCACCTTAATAAGCATATTTTATTGAGACATAACTTGATTATCATGAATAATATCTTTAATAGTTTCATGTACTACTAGTATATCTGTAAAAAGTGTATTTTAACTATTTTTACTACTCTTATTCATATACTCTATACGGAGTATAAATTTTCATAATGTATTAATGTTAACTTTTATAAACATTGGAACATGTAATTATTTATATTTAAGGACAAACATGACTAATGCATCAAGTTTAATCAAGTCAATTGTTATGAAACTGGGGTCATAAATGCTACTTGCTACATTTGAAATGCTAATATATTTGATGTTGAGAACAATTACAATTAGTACCTCTATTTCTAAATGATGTGCTCGTTTTTTCAAATTTCACGATAATTAAAAGAGAATAGAAGGAGCATGAGAATATTGTATAGTAAAGATAAAAACTATGGAGAATTAAAGCAAAACACTTATTTAAAAACAAAAGGATACTTTTATAAAAAAAAAAACAAAAAAAAAAAACAAAAGGATACAGTATAAAGCGTAATTGTCAAACAGGGCCCAAGAGTGCAAGACCTCACTCTAATTACCATAAGTCGGCATGTACAGGAACAAAACCCAATTTGTCAAGTGGTAGGAAACGTAAGAATCTCCGTTAATTGTTGAACCGCCTTAAAAAGAAAACAAAAGAAAAAGAAAAAGTAGTGCAGCCGTGAGGGCTAGGTCAAGACACGTCATTACCCTAACACGTGGCTTCTTATGATTGGGAAAGTTGAGGTGTATTTTCTTGATTAAGTCGGTTTACTAATTCTTTAAATAGGCCTCCTCCCTTACGTAATTTTCTCATCCTTCAATTTCTTCTTCATTCAATTATCAATTCAATTTCTCTGTTCGATTCTCAACCTTTTTCAAGGTAATTTCCCTTCTTTTTTTCCGCTTTCATTCATCTTCTTTGATCTGTAATTTTTTTGGAATTTTGCAATCAATCTCAGTTTTTTTTTTATATAATTTAATCAATTGATTTATCGGAGATTATTTTCATGTTTTTCGATCAATTTCTTTAATGGAATCCAAATTTGTGGTTTAAGTTTGAAATATTTGTTGATTGATTTTGTTATTATAATTGATCGTCTTTAAAAATTTATACAAATTAGGTTTTTAGATTTCGCCTAATTTTGAAAATTTTCTTTTGAATTTTAAGTTTTCAATTTGCGATTAAATTTCCTGCCGTCCGATTAGATCTGAGTTTTGATGGTAAAATTCTACAATTTCAATTTACGATTTGGCTTGTTTTGTGCTCGATTAGATCTGAAACTGTCAATTAAATTCCTGCAATTAGGGTTTTAAGATCTGGTTATAATCATCTATAATTCTGCAATTAGGGATTGAGATTTGGTCGTAATTAGTTGTAATTTTGGAATGATTACTGATCTTTCTTAATTATTTATTGATTATACAGATGCAAATCTTCGTGAAGACCCTTACTGGAAAGACCATCACTCTCGAGGTCGAGAGTTCCGACACCATTGACAATGTCAAGACTAAGATCCAAGACAAGGAAGGAATTCCCCCAGACCAGCAAAGGCTGATCTTCGCCGGAAAACAGCTGGAGGACGGCCGAACCCTAGCTGACTACAACATTCAAAAGGAGTCAACTCTCCACCTTGTGCTCCGTCTCAGGGGAGGAATGCAGATCTTTGTCAAAACCCTAACAGGAAAGACAATCACCCTCGAAGTCGAAAGCTCCGACACCATTGACAACGTCAAGGCCAAAATTCAAGACAAGGAGGGAATTCCCCCAGACCAGCAAAGGCTGATCTTCGCCGGAAAGCAGCTCGAGGATGGCCGAACCCTCGCCGACTACAACATCCAAAAGGAGTCAACTCTCCACCTTGTGCTCCGTCTTAGGGGAGGAATGCAAATCTTTGTCAAGACTCTCACTGGGAAGACCATCACCCTCGAAGTCGAGAGCTCCGATACTATTGACAATGTCAAGGCTAAGATTCAAGACAAGGAGGGTATTCCCCCAGACCAGCAGAGGTTGATCTTCGCCGGAAAGCAGCTCGAAGATGGGCGCACCCTTGCTGACTACAACATCCAGAAGGAGTCCACACTTCATTTGGTGCTCCGTCTTCGTGGTGGTATGCAGATTTTCGTGAAGACCCTTACCGGGAAGACCATTACTTTGGAGGTTGAGAGCTCCGACACCATTGACAATGTTAAGACCAAGATTCAGGACAAGGAAGGTATCCCCCCAGACCAGCAGAGGTTGATTTTCGCTGGTAAGCAGCTCGAGGATGGCCGTACTTTGGCCGACTACAACATCCAGAAGGAGTCCACTCTCCATTTGGTGCTCCGTTTGAGGGGAGGGATGCAGATTTTCGTCAAGACCTTGACCGGAAAGACCATTACCCTGGAGGTTGAGAGTTCGGACACCATCGACAATGTCAAGGCAAAGATTCAGGACAAGGAAGGCATCCCCCCAGACCAGCAGAGGTTGATTTTTGCCGGCAAGCAGCTGGAAGATGGAAGGACTCTTGCGGATTACAACATCCAAAAGGAGTCAACCCTTCACTTGGTGCTCCGATTGAGGGGAGGAATGCAGATTTTTGTGAAGACCTTGACTGGCAAGACCATCACTCTGGAGGTTGAGAGCTCGGATACAATTGATAATGTGAAGGCTAAGATCCAGGACAAGGAGGGGATCCCCCCAGACCAGCAGAGGTTGATCTTTGCTGGTAAGCAGCTCGAGGATGGGCGTACCCTTGCTGATTACAACATTCAGAAGGAGTCTACCCTTCACCTTGTCCTTCGTCTCCGTGGTGGTTTCTAAGCCTTGGTGTCGTTCTCTGGTTGTCGGCGTGAAGTATATGGCGTCGATTTGGTTTCTTTTTTATGAATTGTGAATGCATTGAAGTACTTGTTGGAACAATTTCAATTGTAGTTTTATGATCTTAAGTTCTGGTATTATGTTTCTGGTTAGTGTTGATGACCTACGAAGTTCTAATGTGAATAAAGTATCTCCTGTTTGTGTCTACCTTCTCTTTGTTGCTATTTTTTTAATTGTTATGTTTTGGTTTGTTCATGGCATGAATCTCATATCCTGTGAAACCTGTTTACAGTTGATGGGCCTTAAGAATGTATTGAGAGCTAATGTTTAAGCTTCATATCATTCAAGCTATTAGATTAGATAGGTCACTGGATTTCATAAGTATAATTTTCCATAGGAATCCGGACAGAGATGTTATACCTGTTGGTGTTTGCAGCAGATATGATGTTAATTGTTAATACTAGTGATGTTCCGAGGTTGAATTGAATAGTTGCCTGCTGTGTGGTATTACTGGATTAGCATGTTGATTGTTGCTGTGTGCTTGGGGTTGTTGCATCTATTTTTTCAACACCATTAAATTGGTCTTGGGGATGTAGGCTAAGATTTAGGCTTTTGCAAAATTGTCTGCACTTGGAATACTTTGCTGTTTCTGTTACCCTGTTCTTATGCCTCTTAGCATACACTGCTGAAGGCCGGGAGCTATGAAATTTTATTAAACTGGAAAGGAATATAAGTCTGTGTTCTAATGTCTTTGGTTCTAAGTTCAATAAATTAGCATATTTTGGTATTGAAGAAGGCTGTAGTGTGTGGACTGAAATTCATATTTAAGGCTATGTTAAACTTAGAATCTCTTATCTGCAAAGGTTACTTGCATGTTCCTTCTTTAGTATTATGCCTTTTAGTATGGTATGTGTTGCGGGTTTGTTGGATTGTTTGTTAGAATGTTTTGGGATGTGAATGTGATTTTAACGAGGTCGAATACTCGTGAATATTGTATTGCTGAGAGTGTGTAGTTAGTTATTGCCTGCCTTAGGAGATACTATCAATGGGCAACTATGAAGTGTTTTGGGCTTATATTAAGTTTGATTATCATTTTCTGGATGAATTAATATTTTGAACTTCTCTAGGTAATATCGATGTGATATTGTGATGATAATTTGAGTGTTGGGATAAAAAAATCTTTCATTTGATATCTATAGTTGGTTTTTTTGTTTAATGATATTTGCACATTTTCTTGTTGGCTGTATGGCATTGCAAATTGCTTGTCTCCATGCAGCTATTAAGATGAATTTTTCTAGTTTTACTGATGTTAGTAGGCAGTGTTACAGGCATGACCGCATGACTGTCGATTTTGTAAGTGTGTCAATGGCTTACCCTGGAGATGCATTTTTTTTGTTGGCTTGCTTGGTGAAATAAAGTGACAACTCTTGGCATGGACTGTGGTTTAATTTTTATCGGCACTATTGTTGAACCTGAGATGTGTTATCTTTTGGATTACCAGACAAGCATTAGCTCCTAAATGCTTGATCTGAATGGGGTATTAGATGTTTCAAGGGTGGGGATGGGAATTCTGTTTTACTTTTTTCTTAAGAATCTTGAAGTAGATTTTTTATTGATAATGGGTTATTAGATGTTGGGCGTACCCTTGCTGATTACAACATTTAGAAGGAGTCCACCCCTTCACCTTGTCCTCCGTCTCCGTGGTGGTTTCTAAGCTCTTGGTATCGTTCTCTAGTTGTCGGCGACTCGGCGTGAAGTTTGTGGCATCGATTTGGTTTCTCTTTTATGAATTGTGAAAATATTAAAGTACTTGTTCGAACAATTTCTATTTTAGTTATGAATTATCAAGTTCTCTCATTATGTTTCTGGTTAGTGTTATGAACTCAATAAAGTTCTTATTCAGCTGTGGATAAAATATTTTCTGTTTGTGTCTACATTCTCTTGTTCCTATTTTTAATTGTTATGCTCTGGTTTCTTCTGACATCCCTTAAAACGTGTTTACAGTTCTTGCGATTGCTCTAAGGTTATGCTTGCAGTTCCTATTTTTTTATGATATTATGTCTTGAGTTTAGATTAGATTGGTTTTTAGACATGAAAATTGTTATTTTGATAAGCAATTTTATTAGCGTAGTTTCTCATACAAATTTGGCGAGTTGGGATTCTTCTTGGTTTTGCAGTTTTGATGTTAATTTATTGATAATATACTAGTCATGTTCTGAGGTTGAATTGAATTGTTGCCTGCTGTGTGTGGTACTGCCATATGAATATGTACATCATCACCCAAGTAAAATGTGTTTTGACTGATGAGTTAGTTTAGGCTTTTGCAAAATTGTCTGGACTTGGAACACCCTGAAATTTTCAATTGTGAATCAATACATTAAAGATAACATTGTGCAGTTTCTGTTATTTTGTTCTTATGCCTTTGGCATACACTGTTATTTTGTTCTTGTGCCCTAATGTCATTGTTCCTAAGTTCAATACTTTGGCTCATCTTTTATCTGCAAAGGTTGCTTGCATGAACCTTCTTGAGTTTTTTGCATTTTTAGTATGGGATATCCTGCGGGGTTGTTGGACTGTTGTTAGAAATTAGAATGTTTTGGGATGTGAATGTGATTTTTCTTTTTCTGAGTGTTATTACTTGTGAATGTGGTATTGCTGAGATTGTGTAGTTAGTTATTACCTGCCTTTGGAGATCTTATCAATGGGCAACTATTCATGGATGGTAGGTGTGTTTTGGGCTTATTTTTAGTTGGATTATCATTTTCTGGATGAATTGATTTTTTGAACTTCATTAAGCTATATCAATGTGATATTGTGATGTGATTATTTTTAGTGTAGGGAATAAAAATTTTTTCATTCGATATCTATAGTTGATTTCTTTGTTTATGGATTTTACACAATTTCTTGTTGGCTGTGTGTGTGTGTCGTTGCAAAATGCTAGTACTCCATGCAGCGAAGATGATTTTTTCTAGTTGTACTGATGCTAGTAGGCTGTGTTGGTGTGGGCATGACTGTCGATTTTGTAAGTGTGTCAATGGCTTACCTTGGAGATTTTAATTTTATTATTTTGTGGGCTTGCTTGATACAATGAAGTGTGAACTCTTGGCAGGGACTGTGGTTTAATCTTCATTGGCAATGTTGTTGAAATTGAGATGATATTATCTTGCATTACCAGATTTAAGAAGCATTAGCTCCTAAACTTTTGGCAGGGACTGGTTTATTTTTTTTTTCTCATATGCTAGATTTGAACGGGTTATTAGATGTTTTGAGGTTGGGCTCCTCAATTATAGATCAGAATTCTGTTTTACTTTTTTCTTAAGAATATAGGTAAATTTTTTATTGATGATGATAGAACTGGCAGAAACTTAGTTTTAGTGGTGTTAATGAATGTTTGCTGAAGACTGCCATACTGGCCATGTTTCCAAGAGTGAACTTTGTTGTTGAGGTTGAGATATAATTGGATAGGTATGCGACTACTGGTTTTTTAAACTTTGAGGGCTTGAGGCTGTTTCCTCCTGTTATAGGCTGTTGAATGGAAGGAGTTATTCAATATACAAGGAAATTGTTGGCGTCATTAGTGATACTGAGTGGTCGTAAGGGATTTTAAGGCTCCACCCTTAAAAAATTAACATACCTAGCTGAAAAATTGGTTTTGCTGTTTAATTTGTGCGGCAATGCAGCAATGGTGTGGAGTTATAGAAAGGATTTTGTTACTGTTGAACCTGAATTAAATCAGATGAAATTGTTTAATCCCCTTCCACCTGTTTGCCTTTTGGGTGTGCAGTTGAAGCTTGAGTGCTTTGAATATTAGTTGATGGGTAGGCTGTCTGTTAATCTTTGTTGATTTTGTGATCAGTTGCACAATATATTCAGTCTGATAATGTTATTGGCCCTGAACAGACTTGGAAAATAGGGTTTTTATTAGCATATTTTGGGGTTTAGACTTCTGACTTCAGTGGAATTCTCTTGGTCAAGGCTTTGATGTAACAAAGACATTAATTGTGCTTTTTTTCTCTTCTGTTTTATTCTCTCTGTAATGAGATTATGTGATTAATTGTAGGATAGCTTTTGTTTTTTATAACCCATTAATCTGTTTCAAGCTTAGGTTTTCCTCATACTCATTGAATGTAGTCTATGTTATGATTTGTGATCCGTTTGTTAAAACCCTTTCTGATCTGTGGGTATACTAAGTTCCAGGGAAAAAGGAGTTTTTGAGTGTTAATAAACGTTCAGTATTGAGGCTACTGAAAGCAGTTTGTTTGTGTGTGGGTCGTCTGGTATTTAACAGGTTGAGCTTCTTTAACTGGAAGGGTCCATTTATTCTATTGCTTCTTTGGGACTTCTTAGATTAGTTCTTCATCTAAGGCTGGTGGTAATGAACATCTGATTGATGAGGTTTTTTGAATCCAGGCTTTCAAGTACTATGGCATTGTAATTTGCTATGCTTGACAGCAAGGATGATGTGTGCCTGTGTATTGTAAACGTGGGTTGATGTTTGCCTGTGTGTTGTTGACTTTGCATGTTTGTCAATGATATTTTTTGCTGAATATGGATTGCTGTTATTCAACTGGATCCGAACTGCTGAGGCTGTTGTCTTTGTTAAGATAATTTTTGATAACTGTACAGCAATATAATATAGGTTTTTGCAGTATTTGCATCTGTTGTCTTCTGTTGTCACTGCACTGATTTTTTTAGCAGTCTGCACATCATATGTATTTGTTGAAACATGCTATTTGATATCTCCTCTTTTTGATTGCTTAGATAAGTTTATGTTCTGAATCTTGAACAATATGGTTAGGCAATAACGTGACCTTTATTTTCGATCCTTTTTAAGGTTTTTTACGGGGGATTTGGAATTGTTAGCTTTGGGGTGGCAAGGATGAATGGTTGATGTGCGGTTTATTTGCCCTAGATGTAGACCTTGACATAATGGTAATGCATGGGTTGCCAATGCTATTGAAATGTTGAAACCAAAGTGCTGATTATGCTTGGACTACCATGCATGCGTAGTTATCTCTTAAGATCTTGGTAGGCATTCATTATGGGTGGATTTTTGGTTTTACAAATGATATGAGGTTGGGCTTTTCTACTATGGACTGAAAACTATCCAACCCTATGTCAATTTCTTAAGAATTAATTCAATTTAGTAAAGTTGGCAGAGTATCAATCCGATGTGCATGTAATAACTTGTTTGGGCTGTTTTGTTTAGGTATTGACTAATTCTAAGTTAAATGTTCATTAGCAATCTATTCGAAGTTGAAAAATGGTGTTACTGTTTACTGTCTTCGTGAAGCTATTGTTACAAGACTCATTTTATGGAAGAGGTTTATTTTGCAGTTACTTATGTAGAGCAACTGATATAGTGCAAATGTGAATCACTTCGTAGAACACCTTGAGTTTTATTTATAATGTCACCTATTTAACTTTTTTTTTTTAACTGAAGTTTTGGCATACTCATTCTACCTTGCTTTGGAGTATGTTTGGATAGCGGCTTGTTTGTTCATTGAAGATTAGCTGATTATGCATGCACTGCTGACAGTTGAGAGCAATTGGATCAGCTGTCTGTTGATAGTGTGAACAGCTTGATCTCCGATATCTAAGATTTGGCAGGTTTATTGGATTTAATGTAATGAATCAGCCATATGAAGCCATGAAGGGTACAGCTAGAACTTAGGTGAAACTTAGGTGATGTGTATGAATAATTTGCAGAAACTTGCAAGTCCTGGTGCTGTGTACTGATGTTCACAGGTTTCTGCTGTCGTAGGGAGGGCAGTATTACTCTTGGTTAGATAGGCTATGCTCCCCGTACCCGGAGGCCAGTTTGCTTGGCTTTGACCAGCAATCGTCATGTCTACCAATGTTCTGAAATTTAGAACAAATAATGTGTAAATTCTGTACTGCTAATATACTCAAATAAGAGTTGTGACTTGTGAGGGCTACCATAGGATGCGTATCCCAAAAATTAAAACCAATTTGTTGCAGTAATCACAGGTTCACACGGCTAAGTGGTTTCTAGGTTCTCAATCACCTAAGTGTTGTTTCTGGTTATGTTCCCAGAAACTAACAAGAACTTTGGCTAATTCATAGAAAGCTCCGTGTAGTTTAGGTTCTTTTCCCTCTTTCCTGTTGGTATATGGAAAATCACCTTTACGGGAGAAATTACACATCTACTATTATATGGAAAATTACCTTTACTCATTTTATATTGATAACATACTTTCATATATTTCTTTTATAATAACATAGAAAATTACCTCCGATTTTTATATTGGTAATGTGCTTTTATATACGGGAAATGAATATAAAACTTGCTATAGTTGGCTGGAAATAGACTATGTCACTTTGACATTATAAGGCCGGATCCTTCCGATTGTAAATACTTAGGTGAGAATTCCATTTTTTTGGTTTAGTACTTGTGAGTAGGAAAAGCTAAGTGAACTTCTAATCAATTGTAAACTGAAGCATTCACTTGGCAAGATCCATGTACTGTTACCATTCAAAATAATTATTATCGAAATCTTCAACTTTCTACGTTCATTACTTTATAATTCACTATTATATTATTTCACTAAAATTGTCTCATTTAAGATTATCTATTTTAATCAATGAGACAATTTTTTAATAAGCCGAATAGACTATACCTTTCATCATCATTGATACAAACATTTTTTACATACAAACATTGATACCACCACTAGGGAGTGTAGGACATACTAGTCAACTTTAATATCTTAAATGGCATAATATTTTATGGCCCCCCAAAATGGTTTATATTAATTTATATTGTCCACACACAATTACACAAACATAGGCTCCATCAAACTAAATTGAACCGCGTTAATATTTTACACTTAAAGTCTCATTCTTCGTTGACTCATTGTAATTTACACGAACTCACCAATCTCAATAATATACTAACACTCTGTTCATAACTTCACTCTCCCCTTTTCAGTCCTTCAAATACCACTTTTCTTTCTGTATCTCATCTTTTACTCACCGGAAAACCACTCAAAACCCCCTCAAAACCGCTTTCGAAAGGCAAAAACCACCGGTAAATGGCGGCCGAAGAAGGCAGCTGCTGCCGATGTTGTTGTAGTTTCATATTTACCATTGGATTAACAGCTCTATTTATGTGGCTAAATCTTAAGCCTTCAAACCCAGTTTACTCCATTGAAAACTTTAACGTTTTTGCCCTCAACAAAACCGCTAATAATTCCATTTACTACAAAAACAACCACACAATCCGTTATGATTTTAAGCTTAATAATAAGGAGAATAAAGATAAGGGTGTTTACTATGATGCCCTTAATCTTACATTTTATTACTATGATGCCCTTAATCCTAGCTTAGCTAATAAGACCCTTCTTGGAAATGACACTATTACCCCTTTTTACCAAGGGCATGGGAAGCGTACTCATCGTGTTCGTACCATTGATGCTGGAGGGGTAAGATGGGAAAACGCTACCGCAACAACGTCGTTTTTTAGAGTGGAGCTTAATACAACGGTTCGGTTTAAGATCGTGTTTTGGAAGACTAAACGCCGGCATCGTTTCGGGTTGTTTGCTGACTTGCACGTTGATGAACAAGGGAGTTTGCTTAAGAGGAAGAAGAAGGGTATTAAGTTTAGGTCAGGAGCTAGGAATAGTAAGTGTTGCAACTTTCATTTGTTGGGAATTTTGACTTTTATTCTTTTGTGGTAGATTATTATTGTTTTTGTTTAGCTAAGAATTTAGTAGATGGGATTCATCAATTATTGTTTTTGTTTTATTGTAGTTTTATTTTTCCTATCTCAATGGTGTACTTTAGTAAATTGTTTTTTACAAGTATAATTTGTTACGGAGCATTTTTGGTGTGTCACGAAATGATATGATGTTAGAAGTGATAAAAAAAATTGGGCCGGGTCAGGCCTTAACATGAAAGTAGTAGGCTTATCGGGCCAAAATGGGTTTTTTCAAGCCGAATTTGGGCTTTTAACTAAAAACGGATTTTTAAGTTTGCCCAAACCCGTCCTATTTTCTGGTCGGATCTGGCTAAGCTAGCGGGCCGGGCCGATGTTAATTACCTCTATATAAAGTATAACTCTTAAATTTGAGCAGAGTATTACATACAAGTATTAATCAAGTTAGAGTGTTAGACTTGATGTACTTTGTTAGAAAAATATTACAAAAGTTGAATAATCCTAATTACGTTCTTGCAGAATGAGGATCCCTTATCTATTCCTGTAAAAAAGTTGAATGTTATTGGAGATAAAATTCCTAACCCTTCTCGCCTCCTCCTTTTCAAGGATCTAACATGAAGTAAAAGATTTGCAAGATTTGAAGTTTATTTAGATTGTACTCCACACACCAGAAAATGCACTGTAACACACTTGGACTAAAAGGTTGGGCCCCAATTCTTACAAAGTTTGCCAAAGTTGGCCCAAAAAATTGCGAAGATGGCCCAAACACATAACCATTTCATAGCAGTCTTTAGAAGATTTTAGACTTAGGACCTGTTCACATTTACTGAACTGAACTAAACTAAACTGATTAGACCTAAACTGAACTGAATAGAGATGAAATGAATATTTTATGAGAGAAGGAAATTAGGAGCTGAACTGAACTGAAATTAAGCTAAAGTGAACTAGTCCTTAAAAGTCTACATTAGTCTAGTTTACTTTAGCAAATTCAATTCTACAACTGAAGAATCGTTGTTGTACATATGTAATTCACTTCGATTGTAATGAAGGTAATTTCTATCTATTGTACATTCTAGTTTGTTTGTTTTTTTTTTTTGCCTTTGAGTTGAGTAATTATTATGTGATTTAATTCTCCTATTGTGTTAAGTAATTAATCTTCATAATTATAGGCTGTTTGGTGATTGGTGCGTGACCTTTATTATGAGTTGGTACGGAGTATTAAGGGCATACATTTGCGACACTCTAGTCTCCAAGAAATATGGTGTTAATTAGTTGTTAGTTCCTTGTTTGAATTTAAGCATCAACAATAAATTTTTGTTTTATTTAAATTGCTCCGGTTTATCTTTTTATTATACGCTTATACATAAATATTTTATAGTAATGTGACTATTTATTGGAATCGTCAATGTATAATTTTCAAATATCAACTTTTTATAATTTAATTTCATTAATATTAAAGATATAATATGTCAAAATCCTACCTTAATTGACATACTTTAACATATATGTCAGGTTATACATAAACATTTTGAAAAATTAGCGGGACTAACAAATTAAAATAAGCCCCATCACACTTGACTAGTTCATGATGGGGTGCATAGCAGTCGATCTCAACTTTCTATCCTAGATACTTCCACATCATATTTAATCAATTTGTTTGACGAATGCTCGTATTTCTCCACGTTTATTTGACAAATGACAACTAATATGTGCAACACTCAAATTATTATATATGTAGTTTATGTATAATCCTAGCATAAAATAATGAATTTATAGTAACTACTCCGTAACATCTATTTTTGTAGGAGCTCAATGATTTATTTATTTATTATATATTATTGCATGGACCTTTTCAAATTGACAAATTGACAAATTACACTTTCCTAATCATATACATGGTATCATATATTGATGTCTCTACGAAACTATAAATACAAGATTACAAGATAACTAAGACATATATTCACTCATAACATTTCAGTTTTCTTAGCAAAGAACAATCAATCAAGTATATATACTACAATACAAATTCTCATCTAAACTAGAAATTAATCATTTTCTTTCCTTCTTAAACCATCCAAACAATTCAATGTCAAAGGCTAATCACGGTGGTTGTTGTGGCGGTATATTCTCATTAGGTTTAAGTGTCGCGGTCTTACTCTGCCTTCTCCTCCAACCCTCAACCGCTCTACCTGTGAGCTCAATCGAAGACTTTACCATTTATGCCCTAAAGGATGCAACCAATTCTTCTCATAACAACCACACTATCCACTATGACCTTAGGCTCACAAACTCGGGTTCCAATGGAATTTACTACGATACCCTTAAGCTCACATTAATTTACAAACCTAATCACCTAACAAATTTCATCATTGGAAATACCACTTTTATCCCTTTCTACCAACGTCATTTAAGGGATAACCACTTTGTTGGTAACATAGAGACTAGAGGGGTAAATTGGGAAAATGCTACCGCCCCGATGACACTAAGGGCAGAGCTAGCAACAACAATGAGGTACAAATTTAGAAGGAATAGATTGTACCAACGGCTAAGTAATGTGGTTGGAGCTGACTTGAAAGTTAATGATGAGGGTAATTTGGTCAATAAGGGAATTCAGCTTACCTCTAGAGCTGGAATGAATGTTATTGGCCGTTTTCAGTTCATGAGCATTTTGTTGTGTATTTTGTTTTTCTTTCAATCTTGGTAGAGATGATTATTGTTTGTCAATTTTTTTATTTGTTGTTTGTTAATTTATTATTTAAATGCATGTTGTAAATCGTTACATACTATTGTTTCAAGTGATCAAATTGAATAAATAAAATGAATGATTGTTTGATTTATTTCATTTGTTGTGAAACGAGAGTGGATAAATTACAAGACTCCACGCTTTTTTATCAGTAGTGTACTGTTATATCAATCCGTTCTCAACCGGAGCGGATTGAGCGGCGCTAGATGGCAATATGAAAGCCATGTACATGGTCGTGGATTCATCATTCGAGTTGGTGTTACGTCCCCATCAAACGAGTTCACGTATGTCATATGTTTTTTTCATTTAACTCGGAGTGTTTGATTGGGTTATCAAGCGACATTACATAACCTTTCAACTCATATGACAAGTACATTATAAGATTTGTTCCAAGGTTGAGATTGTTTGATTATTTCATATGACCAACTAACTATATTATGTCTCAAGCTAACATTTCTAAAATAAGTTAAGCATTGATCTGCTTGTTCAAGTTATATTTTAATTAACCTGTTTGTTCGTTGGTGTTCAAGTTATTTTAATTCATTTGTGTCTAATGATCCCGTTAAGTTGTGTGCTCAAAAGATATATAACAATCATGCATAAAAGAGAGAAGAAAGTATGACGATTTTTTTTTTCCAAAACATAAATTATAGTGAGAATATTGTTCACATTGTTTTCTAAAGAGAGTATTGTTATTATATATTCATACTTCTTCCATTTCCCAATACATGCATATAATAAACTGTCTTTGAATTAATAAGCATGGAAAAAATATATATTTTGAGGTATGCAATACAATAAATATTGCATTTTATATGGTCTATCTCTAGCTTGTTGTTGTATCTTACATATATATGGTCTCTTGTTGCAAACCATAATAAGATCCATCAAATTAAAAGATAAGTTAAGTTCCAGATTTCTAACTAACAAATGGAAGACTGAGTAGTTTTTGGTGGGCAAAAGCTACTTCATTCACTCTTTAATTATTGAAGCACAATGATAATGACATACTAATACAAGTTATAATATACTCCGGCTAGCATGATCACATACACACAATAAAATATTTCAATACATTAATGGCAAAATTCAATCAAAAATTTGTAAAGTTGACCTCTAAATATAGGTTGCATTAGCATTTCATTATATATATATATATATATATATATATATATATATATATATATATATATATATATATATATATATGTTTTGTGCCCCGTGTAATGCTCGGGTTGTTTATTGAGTTTTAAGATAAAATTTTAATCTGTGTCAAATTTTAAAATATATCATTGATACAAAATTAGTTAGGAATTGATGTGCTTTTGTGATGATTTGCTATCTAGTAAGCATGTAATGACTAATAATAATGTTGGTGGAAATTTTCGATTTAATACATTAAAAATATAAAAAAATCAGCAAAAAAAAAATTAAATAAAATAAATGTTCAAAGCCTGTTGGGTTGACCCGAACCCAAAACTTTGGGCAAGGGCTGAACATTTCTTGACTCGTAACCTGAAGTGACCCAATCCGAGATGACTCATGACCCGACCCTAATTGACATGTCTACATAGTAATAAAATTCTATTAGATTGTGAAGTATATTATTTTAACCGATTAGTATATATTATAAATGGATGTTTTACGCTTTGAACTACTTCCTTCGCTCCAAAAAATATTATGATATAAAAAATAAATATATATGATAATTTTTTAGAATTATAATCTAATAATTTTTTTGAATAAAATTATGATTCAATTTGTACATCTGAAATATTGGTATTTTATCGAAAATAAAACTCTAAACTAATTCTAAAATTCTATCCAAATAGAATTCTAAACTAACTTTTTTTTTTATCTTATGAAGTTTATTTAAATCTATCCAACGTGGCGTAACACTTGGCGAAAAGTTGGAACGCCAAGTGTCGCTGCCTCGTGGCCTGACTAAAAGTTTAGCTTTATATTAGTTATATATATGATGTATAGGTGGCATTAATTAGTGAATTGATGATGAGTAGGAATTTGAACCTCCTACGAAATTTTACTTACCAGAAAATGAAAGAAATTATTAAAACTAGGCCGTCTTGTATAATTAGGGCTTAGAACTTCTATACAAAAATGTTTCAATTCATAATCAACTACGAGTACCCAAACCACCTTTACAACTTCTTAGAAATGAAAGTACATGGGAATATGGGATTAGCAATTTCATATTTGCAATCAATCAAAGATGGTTGTAGTAGGCTGTGTTGAGTCGTGTCTTATGCTAAGCCCATCGTGATTGGTGCCAGTTGATTTCAGCCCATAACTTAATCCACCATATATGCGTTGCGTTGCGTTGTGAAGAAATTTTTAAAGGACAGCTACATTCAGTCCAAACTCATGTGCCACCATGTCATATTTGCATATATGTAAGCAAAATATAACTTATTTAATCATGCCATGCTTTTTTCGTGATGAATGGTTTAATTCTGGTGTTCTGCCATATGTATTAAAATTGATCGACATAACGTTTTAGTCCAATGATCTCTTTAAATTAAACCAAACGATAAATAAATTTTTACCCTAATTAGAAATTTATTTAAGGTTATTGTTGCCTATATGAAACTTTTCATTAAAAAGTTGATTAGCGGTAGGAAAGGTAGTAATCAAACACTTTTTCTTATTTATAATTTTATATATACGTTCCATGTTGAATGACTAATTATAGTAATTATAAAGTGTTTTAAGTGGCCCATCCTTACTTTATTGATAATCTAATACACTTGACATAGTCTTGTTTAATTTCACAGGTATTCCAAGTTTGACCAGACTATAAGCTCTATCTACTTGACATTGTTTAATGTAACAAATTCAAATACACAGCTGCTCTCCCTTACTACAAATACAAAATAAATATCAACCATTTCATAATCATAATTTAGCCTTAAAAATATTAATAACCAATGGAAAAGCCTAAACACGGTGGTTGTTACGGCGGCATAGTCTCATCCGGCTTATTCGCCGTCGTCTTCCTCAGCCTTCTCCTCCAGCCCTCAGCCGCTCAACCCGAAATAACCATTGAAAAATTCACCGTTACCACCCTTAAGGAAGTTACAAATTCCTCAAACACCGTCAACTTTGAAATAAAGTTTTTAAATTTTGATCCCTATCCAATTGACTATAATACCCTCAACTTTACCTTTTATTACAAACCTAATAACACTACTATTTTACCTATTGGAAATGCCACATTTAAACCCTTCTACCTACGTAATAAGGGGCGCTCTACACGCCGTGTTGGGACTATTGGTAATAATGTTACCACGGCGCCACCGGTGGTGTTTAGGGTGGAGCTTGTGACTTCGATAAGGTACGAGTATAGTCTCATTTTAAAGTCCAAATGGCAACGTTACGTGGTGGGAGCCAATTTGAACGTTGATGGCCAGGGTCATTTGATTAAGAGGAAGCACAATAGAGGGATTCCTCTTACATCCGGAGTTGGAAGGAATTATATGAATTGTTCTCAGTTGATGTTCATGTTACTTATCAGATTGTTTTTCTTTCATTCATTGTAGATTCAATGATTACTGATGCTCACTTATTTTACGTTGTTCATTAATTAATTTGTTGATTCTTTTGATATGTTTGAGGGTGTGATTTGTGAAAAAGAAGTAAATTCGTTCAGTATGATTTACTTTATATAATGTTAATTTTGAACGAACGTGTAAATAAAAGTGGCAACTCCCCATATGCTTTTGTTAGATTTATTTTTAAGTCCATTGGGAGAGAACTGTATTTTACATTTAATTCGCTCAATCTATAGACTTCCTCCGTTTTTTATAATTGCAACACACATTTTATTACGGTAATTAAGAAAATTAAATCTCACATAATATAATACACTTAAAATGGGGTTAAAATTAAAGGTTGTTAGGAGCATAATCGAGTGGGCCATGTGCTTTAAATAAAGATAATAATACATTTTTCACCATAAAAACCTTCCTTTTATAGTGTGTTGTAACTATTACGACATTTCCATTTTAGAGAAGTGCTCCAACTATAAAGGAATGGATGAAAGTGTTAATGTAGTGAAGGACACGAGTATGGAGTATCTTGCAACTTGCGAACTTTAACCCTACATAAATACATACGGAGAATGTTTAAGGAAAAAAAAAAAAGTGAAGTTTTTATTGAGATCTCAGGTTCCACATGGGAAGCGGTTACATTATGTGGATTTATGTCATATTGATCATCATTAAAATAGATCAAACTATTTCATAAGCATAAGAGGTGTTCCGGGTGATGAGCTTCGGTGGCTGATATATGGGGTTGGTAAAGGTTTATCGTCCAACTGATTACTTGCACAGTCAATGTGGATTAGCTAACTCGGGAGATTATCTGGGAATAATAGCCGCTCCAATACTAAGTTAGCAACTAGATGATATGAGTAAGAAAGGAATTGAGAGAGAGAGCTAGAGCGGCTTTAGAGAGAGAAAAGATAGTACCTCAAAGGTGAATTATGCTAAGGTATTTATAGAAAGATAATCAAGCCGGTGCCACATATATTGGTTTAGGTGGCAAGTATGTCACGTGAGTCATTGGCGATGGGTGTTTACGTGGTCAAAAGCAGCTCTCCAGGTGGCCGAAGTTATAGGCCGTTATGGATAGGAGACCGATAACAGAATTGATAGGAAAGTGATGACTTGGCCTAGTTTTGTCCGATCCAACACATACCGGTATCGGCACCATTCCGTACAAGAGGAGCTATAAGCATTGGCGGATTTCAGAAGAGGCCGGCTTTACATTTACGTAGTAGAACAAAAATCAGAATGTAAAATATGATATGTGTGGAATGGACAATTAGTTAATGATTAATAAATAAAAATTTATAGTTGAATATAACAACAACAGTAAAAAAAAAATATTATTAATTTTTATCAGCGTGTAGTGTTTTATGTGTGGCAGATCATGTCGTGTGGCTGGCTGATCGATATACACACCAAAACACTGACCATGTAACACCTGATTGAGTAACCCCTGATCGACTGAGTAATCCCTGATCGAGTAACTCACGACCGACCGAGTAACCCTTGAGTGATCGAGTAACTCATGACCGACCGAGTAACCCTCGAGTGATCGAGTAACCCCTGACCAAGTAACCATGACTACCGAGTAACCCCTGACCAAGTAACCATGACTACCGACCTAGTAACTCCAGAAAAGTAACCCCAGCCACATATAAAACCTATTTTAATATTATAAATATTATACATTATTGTATTGATGGATCATAAAAATGTATATTACAAAGGTAATGAAAAAAAATCGGTTCCCTTAAAGAAAATTTTTAGATGATATAGCGAGCGGCCAACAACCATATTCACAAAACATATTTATTAATAGTGAACAGTTAAACAACCAACTTAGAAAGCCAATACATACAAACAACTGGTCAAACTAGCCATGAAAAACAGCGAACATCCAATTATCAAACAAGGTGGCGCAATATATACTAGCGTATGATTTTTTTTTCGTAGCATCATCATGATGGTATATGAGGAGACTTTCAACATTTGACTTATATCTTTATTCTATTCCATGTAGCTTGGATATGAATCATATGATGGCTATGATTCGAGTTGTTATAATCATAGCTTATATAATAAGGAAATCTACTCGTACAACCATCTTGTTTTAATTTGTTTTCACATAAACTCCAATGTTAAGTAGCTTTTAATAATAACAATTTAACATTATATATATAGTATTGTTATTCACAAGTTGCTCTTTCCTACTCGTATTCGTCATTCAATATAATCATATCATATTCATGTAGTTGTTTGATCACCTATGTATTCTTCAAGAATTAATATAAATGCTAGATCGAAAAGCAAGACAGTTACCTCAATTCCCCATTAAAGGTATACCAAAATAATATACAAGCTAAGTATATACAAAATTTTATTTGTATATCTTTCCTAGAACAAAGTAAACAAGTCTAGCTTAAACAAACCAATTCAATGACAACAAACGTTAAACTAGAAGGTGATTGTTACGGGCGCAATGTATTCTCGTTAGGCTTAATCGCCACTACTGTCGTAGTTTGCCTTCTCCTACAACCCACGGCCACAAACGCTTTTATGGTACCTTCAACTTACATGGAAGAATTTACCGTTTTTGCCATCAAGGAAAACTCTACTACCAATTCCTCTCGTCACAACACTATCCATTTCGAATTATGGTTTAACAATAGAGAAAGAAAGAAAGGCGTTTACTACGATGCTTTAAACCTTACTTTCTATTATAAGCCTAATGATAACATTAGTAGCTTAATTCCAATTGGAAATGCCACTATTAAAAGCTTCTACCAACGGTCGGATGGAAGTGATTGGCGTAGGGGTGATTTTGAGGTAAGAGGGGTAAAATGGGAAAGTATTACGGCGTCGCCTGTAATATTTAGGGTGGAGTTAGTAACAATGTTAAGGCACGATAAAATGTTTTTTAGAAAGTCTAAACGTGAGCGTTATGAAGTAGGAGCTGACCTCAAAGTCAATGATCAAGGTGATTTGATGATTAAGAAGTGGACGATCTTTAAGTGGGGAATTGAACTTACGTCTAGTGTTGGAAGGAATTATATGGGAAGTGTTCAATTGATTGGCATGTTTGTTTTGTTTGTCTTTTATTTTTGGTAAATTAGCTTAGTTCTATTATTGAAAGTCTAACTGGCTAATACAAGAGGGGGGGTGAATTGTATTTGAGGTGAAATCTAAAAACTTTTTGCGGAATTTAACTAAATGAGATAGTGACGAGAGAAGATATAGGCTTTTCTAAATTTCCACTAAGTAATCAAACTCTTTACAAGTGAAGATTCAAACCCGTTAACAAGTTCCACAAATTAGGAACTTGTTCCCAACTCTCACAGAAGACTTCAGCAACGAAGCTTCCTTGACCTCACTTTACAAACTCACAATCCCAACCCCTAAGTACTTGAATACAATCTGTGATTACAAATACCTATTGCACTCAAGAATATATGAAGGAAAATAACTCTCTTTATGTTATTAGATGGCTACTGGAATTTTTATGCTCAAGAGTTATGTTTTTCTGAGATAGTTTGCATGAGTATTTATAGAGAAGGCTTAGTCATTAACCTCCACCATAATCACGTCCACATGTCAACAACCCACTAACAACTTGTGGAGTTATCTTGACAGATTGTGATCATGAAGAGGTTTCCTAGCCTTATCTAATTAAACCACTATCCTAACAACTTGATAACCATTAGCCGTATAAAAGATTTTCTCACAGAAAAACCACTTGCTAACTTTATCAAATATTTATTTAAAAGATTATCAAAAGTTTGTTTAAAAAGATTTTATTTGAAAAGATAAATTTATTATTTATTAAAACAACTAGATAATTATCTTCGATAATTATCTTTATTAAAACTTTTACAAATTATCTTTTCTTTAAGAAATTATCTTTTAAAACTAACTTTTATTCCAGTAGTCTTTAACATAAGTCATTGAGTTCCTTTCCGACTTTATATTATTGAGTGCTCACAATTAAAACTAGAACGTGAGATTTGCACGAGGCTTTTTAAAGAATGCTACTCCGCATCCAAGTTCCTACTCCGGAACGAACTTTGCTTGAACCCTTTATTCACCAAAGACTCAAAACATTCATTAGTCGAGTTTGTCAATTTGTCCATCAAAATCAAAAGGCTCAACAAATTCCCCCTTTTTGATGATGACAAACATTGACAAACTTAAGTAAATAAAATCATCCAGGCATGCAACAGAAATTTTAAAGTAAGACATGAAAACAAAAAAAAACAGAGTAATTAAAGAACTTAAAAAAAAGCTAAAAAGTATTTATTTTAAAAAGACTGAGCAAAAGAGAAAAAATTAACAAAGACTTTAAAATCTTAGAAAAAGTTTAAAAACTTAGATTACTAGGACTTTATTAACTTAGAAAAGTTTGTACCTTCGATGTGTGAGTTCCTTGGTAAACACTTTAGCCGCCATGAAGTTTGTCTTTTCCCCCTTTTGGCATTATCAAAAGATTGAAAAAAAACATTTTGCTATACTCCCACTAGACTACGTAGGGAATAGTGAGCTCAAATAATGCAAGGCAAAAATAAGTTAGGTACTAAATCATCAGCAACCTCACACAATCATATGAAAAATACGAGCCAAGTTCCGATTTAGGAAATAGAAGAGGAACATAGAGAATGTAGCAAAGGATAAAGGCGTACAAACCAAAGTTCAGAGAGATTAAACAAGACCAAAATAAAATTGTTCAACATATGAAATTAGAATAAGTGCAATCAAGGATTTAAAAGGCTGCATTGGTAGGATCAAGGGTTGGATTTGTGGGATCAATAGAGTCTTCCTCGACTTCCTCAAAGGCTACTCTGTTGATAGTTTCCAAGATCTCCTTGTTGCCTTCACTAAACTTGCCTTCAGCCTGTGCAAGCTTTGCCTCTACGCCTGCAAATCCGGTTGCTTGAGAATCTGCCAGAGCCTGCACCTGGCCTTTAAGAGAAAGCAGTTCCGAGGCCATTTCCTCCAGTTTCTTGCTCACCAGAGTAGTCAACTTCTCCATATCTGCTTGAACCTGTTGAAAATCATAAACAGACACACGAGTTCCAGAGAAAGCAGCAAAGCCAGTAGGCTGAAATGGAGGAGGAGAAGGTGAATGAGAAGGCTGCCTAGTAGGTGAGACAGGAATAGAAGAGGGTTCAGTGGAAGAGGGAACTTGGGTAGGTTTGAAGGTGGAATCAGATTTGTCTGAGGAGCTGATGGTTTCTACAGTCACAGGGTGTGTAGTAGAAAGGGCAGGCTTGACCACATTCCTCTTACTCCTTCTAAGGCCCCCTGTAAACACAGGAATGACAGGTGGTCCAGCTGTGCTCTCAGAGTCTGTGGTATGTTCCCTCTCACTTTGATCAGTTCCCTGCCCCTCATGTAAGTCAGATTGTCGAGCTTCCCCCTCAGAAACTTCCATATGTTCCCCCTCAGAATCTTCCTGTTTTTCTCCTTGCACATCTCCCTCAAGTATTTTTTCTTTGTTTTTCTCTCCGTTAGAACTTTTTTCTTCTTCCTTATCTCCCTCAGAATCACTGGAGGTGGTAGCACCCTCACTAGCCTCCTCACTACCCTGGTCACTGCTTGCATCACATTCTTCCTTAGCTTCTTTCCCTTTCCCTTTCTTTTTCTCCCCTCCTTTCCGAGGCACAAAACATACTTTGCCATTTGTAAGCCTAAGACTCAGTCTAAGTAATGATTGTTCAGAGAGGATATTATCGGGTTTGAGATATGTTGGGGATTCACATTCAACATCAATACCAAAAGATTTGAACAACACAGTAAGGAAAGAGCCATATGGAATTGTGGTCTTTTGAGCATAAAAATTCAAGTGTTCAATCATTAGAGCAGGGAAATTAATCTGTATTTTGCATGCAAGACAGAATATGAGGGAGGCATCCAAGAGTGATACGGTACTCCGTTTTTGTAAACGGGGTACTATACCCTTCCAGGTGAAGGTAAACAGTAGCTTATGAAGGGGTGTTAGGGCATGATGGTGAGTAGTTTTCACTTTCGGATTTCCTCCAATAAATTGAAGGATTTTGCATTCATCATTATGGCCAATGTTTACAGATTGTTTGTGCTTTAAATAAGAACAATAGCCTTTAACAGGAACTTGAAATAGATTTCCAAGATAATTGGCATCAAACGAAATTGGAATATCATTAACTACGGCCGAGCACACACCATTATCACATTGAAAGATATTTTTGAACTCATAAATAAATTTAGGATAAACAGGGTAATGAGAACAATTCTGGAACAAGTGAGTCCATTTTTGATAATCAATTAAAGAAGTAAATTCAGTGAACTTACTCGCCACACACCAATCATAGTTGATGTGATATCCGAGAGTGTAATTCCATGATGGGAATTTGGTGGTTGCGCGCCGTTTCCTGTCGCCGCCCTTCACAGCCTTAGCCTTCCTCTTTGGCTGAGCAGATGGATGCACCACCGCAATTGGCACCGGTTGTGGAGACCCCGTGTTTGAGGAGGGTTTGAATGGTGGTGATTGGGTTTTTGGGGTGGTGTTTCGGTTGGTTTTCATGGTGTTGAAGGTAAAATGAAGGGAAGGAGAAGATGAATAGTGTGAATAGGAAGGAGAGAGAGTGAGGCCGGTTATGGGAGTGTATGGGGAATTTAATTGATTTGATAGGTGAAGGTGGAGTGAAAAGAAGAAAAAGAGTTTAATGGGGAGGAGTGAGAAAGAAAAGTGACGGTTTAAACTGTGAGGTAGTGGGGTAGTTTTAGAGGTAGTAGGATTTAATTTGGTGAAATAATTGCACTCATCTAATTCAATGTTGATAAAATAAAATCGTAAGTTAAGAAGTTGATATACATGCTTCTTATCTTACGTAGCAAATAAGATCTTTTTGTATTTTTGAATTCTATGAGGAATAGAAAAATTCATCATGAAAAAATAAGGAAGGAAAAAGATAAGAATAAAAAATAAGATAGAAATAAAAGATAAGAAAGAAAATAACAAGAAGAAAAATAAAAAAAACGAAAAAGATAAATGAGAGCAGATTGATTGTAAATTATGATGATAATTTACGTGATCATGATACAGAGAGTAAAGAATGATGAAAAAGGAACTTGAAACAACATGGCTCAATACTTTTAACATATTAAAAGTATGTATAAGTGACTTTTCAATACTTCACAAATCTTTCCCCTGGGTAATTTCAGCTGTGTTATTCACACAAGATTGAGCGTAGCATTGTTAGTTACATCCGATTTTACCTTAGGGGTTCCAAACAAAAATCACTTGAGCCGTAGCATCCCCAATTCCGCACGCATCTTTTCAAACTTGTCTCTGCTTAAAGGCTTAGTTAAAATGTCAGCAATTTGAAATTCAGTAGAAATAAAATCTAGCTTAATTAAGCCCTTTTCAACATTATCTTTCAAAAAGTGATGCCTTATATGTATATGCTTAACTTTAGAGTGTTGTACTGGATCTTTAGAAATGCAAATGGCACTTGTGTTATCACAATGAATAGGAACGCACTCTAAAATAATGCCATAGTCACGCAACTGTTGTTTTATCCATAGCAATTGAGAGCAACATGCAGCAGCAGCCACATATTCTGCTTCGGCAGTGGATAGAGCAACAGTGTTTTGTTTCTTGGAACTCCAAGAAACCATGCAAGAGCCTAAGAATTGGACTATACCTGATGTGCTTTTACGATTGACCAAATCTCCTGCATAGTCAGCATCAGCATATCCTTTTAGGTCAAACGAGTCACTTTTTGGATAAAACAGACACAAGTCTTCCGTCCCTTTCAAGTATCGTAGAATTCTTTTGACGGCTGTTAGATGCGATTCCTTTGGATCCGATTGAAATCTAGCACAAAGACCTACACTAAACGAAATGTCAGGTCTGCTGGCAGTTAAATATAACAAGGAACCAATCATACCTCTGTATTTTGTTTGATCCACACGAGTTCCCTTGGGGTCTTGGTCCAACCTTGTGGTTGTTCCCATGGGAGTGTGGTTTATCTTTGTGCTTTCCATACCGTATTTTTTTAATAACTCCTTCACATATTTCTGCTGATGGATCATTATTCCTTCGTTAGTTTGCTTAATTTGGAGCCCAAGGAAGAAGTTGAGTTCCCCCATCATGCTCATCTCAAACTCACTGCTCATTAAATCAGCAAAGTACTTGCACAAGGATTC